TATTATTATTATTATTATTGTTAAATGACTGCCTAGATCATACAGACTCACTCATGCATGCATAAGTTTGTAGTTACATCTCTCATATTGCCAGGACCACTGACCATCCCTGGTGCAATTGTTAAAAAGCCATGGGCATTTTTCAGAAGTCTGGCTGTAACAAGGAAGAACAATATTTGGAAGAGGAGCTGCAGCATTGTGGAGTGGAGTTAGCTTTCTGCTTACAGCAGCTCCCCCTCTGTCAAAATGAAGTTTTTATAGCCTCACTGCAGTGTCAAAGGAGAGGAGAGAACAGTTCTCTCTCATCATTGATTGCAAAGAGATTTTTTTCAGTAGGGAAGCCTTAGGAGAGGATACATGCCATATCCAGCTCATGGCCCACATGTTGCCTGGCTTAAATAATATGGTAGCCCAGGTAAGCCAACGTTGTTCTGACCAAAATCCTGTTGCAAAAATTATGTTTGCAGAAAGGTGATGATTTTTTGCAATAAAAGATTTCCTCCTTATGTAGTTTGTTTGATTCTCAAGTAATCCATTTCATTGTGTGGAAACCTTGGAAGCCATAAGGTTTTTAATTACAGAAAATCTCTTCCTGCTAGTAGCATCATCCAGCAGTAGATGCTAGTAGCATCATCCAGCAGCGGATGATTACTCTTCAGTAATTAAATACTCCCTAGTTCTCTTCCACAGTTCTCATGTCTTCCACTCAATGAAACACATTACTTTTTGTGTTAGACAAGCTATAGGACAGGAGGATAAAGTCTTTAATTACCAAAATATTCCTTGGGTGCTTTTCTCTTACCCTTGTGCAAATCCATGGAAATGTGATCTCTGAAGGTCTAGGAACTGTCCCTGCAACCCCCACCCCAAAAAGGTCTCTTACATAAATGTGTTTTTTTAAATTAAAAAGGCCCCTTGTGTGCTGTTAAAATATGTGAAGCTGTAAAAATTTTCTCACACCTTTTAAACAATTTGCATTGGGGGGGGGGAATGCTTGTAAGAGTTGGCTTTATTTTCCTGCTATCATAAAATAAAGTGTTTTGGGTTCCATTTCACCCAGTTTGTTGTATTTTAAATATTGTGTTATGTTGTGTTATGCATTCTTAGTTCTGTAAGATACGCAGAGAATATATCAGTAATCATCCAGAGAACTATGCTAAACAAATGAAATACTTACAGGGTCTTGCATGGGATGACTTAGGGGTTTGTCGAGAGCTGCCATGCCACTAGGCATGTCTGGAGGGTGTGAGAGCTGGGGTGCATGCATAAAGTCATTCATAGAAGTTCCACTGGGATTCCCATGGGGGAAATCAAAGTTGTTGTGACCTTGGTAACTGTTACCTAGACAATGCAAGAAAGAGAAAGGAAGAATTCTTCTTAAAGGGTGCTTCAAATTCACATGCTTCTGAAAAAGCAAAACAACACATAATGCATGAATTTGCTGCCTGCTCAATGAATAAATACATTTCAACTCATTTCTAAACATGAACACAAAGCATTTATTATAATGAATGGGAAAAGTGTAAATAATATTTGGTTATTAAATAACAGGCCATTGTGTCTCTGCTCCCAATAAAAACATAATAATATTCATTCACTTGTTTGGAATATTTAATAGTAACAAATTACTTGCTACATCTCATTTATAACACTGGACCCAAACAGCATTTTCCCCTTTAAAACACATTTTGACTAATTACATTGTTCAATATCAGTACATGTGTGTCCGCCATACAAAAGAACAAGAGAGTAGCTGTGTTAGTCTATTGTTCTAACAAGAACAGAAAAGTCTTGTGGCACCTTAAGGACTAGCCAGTTTTATTTCACATAAGCTTTCTTCTGATACATACAGTACGGCCTTAGGAAACACATTTTCTACAAATATGGAAGGCGGGAATAAAAAGTAAGGGAAATGCAAAAGGCCCAGCTTGCTGGTGTTAATTTGCAGGGCTGTTAGCACTCCTTGAGGATAATGGACAGCAGTGGTTATTAAGAGTCACTGATGGGTGACAAGTACATTCAGACAGAGGGTGTGATCAGACAGGCATTTAGTGCTGCAGAGATGGGTTGGTTTGCTCCTTCTTTCAACAATCAAATGATGTAACTGATGGAGCAAACCAAACTCTCCCAAGAACAGAACTGTCCCCAAACTGTCCTACATGCACATTTCTGGGCACCTGTCAAGAGGAATCAATGTTTTTGGTGCAGGTTGGATCACACCAATTTGTTGTGTTTCCAGTGCGTGCAAAAACCAAAGCAAGCTTTGCCTACGTCATAGAGGTACAGAGGAAGTGAAATTAATTTTTTAGACTCTATTAGGGGGGCAGCACAGATAGAGTCATTGCCCCTCCTGTCTCCTCCCATGTCCAGGAAGGCGTCTGCGATTTCTAAAAAAATATTTTCACTGTCTCTTGTCTGAAAAGTCTGATCAAGAACCCGTGTACAGCAGAGCTTCCAGCAGCAGGGTATGCATCCAGACCAACCTGCATGAATGAGCTGAGTAATATATGCACTGAGAAGAAAAGCAAAAGACTTGCCCATGTTCACGACAAGGGAGATAGCGTGGAACCTCTTTGACAGATTCTTAGTCTGCTCTTTCCCTCTCAAATCTGCCTTCGTTACTGAAGTTCCCAAATTCCTCTGACAGGCAAGAGTGTTATTCTAAGCCAAACATGAAGATACTGGCATGTTGTAGGCCCACAGACTGTCACCTTTGTTTGGAGATGCCACTGGGAGTTGGTCTGGGAAAACCACTTTCTTACCAAAGCTGAAATAATTGTGGCTGAGAATGAAGCTGCAGAGCTTGGTGGGCAGATGTGCCATCGCCTTATTTGGGATGGTACTTTGCTTTTCTGGCAGGCATTGGTTTGATGTCCATGGTGGCCAAGATTGTGGCAGTCTTTGTTGTGGTGGTGCTTTTGGCAAACTATCACTGGGCTGCAGTTTCCTCAGGACATCTGCAGTATCCTTGCTGTGACTCAAAAGAGTATTGGCATACAGCCTGACTTCATAGAATCGGGCATACCAGCCGCAATAATCCCACTTCTGATGCAGTCGAGTGGCCAGAGTACCCTAGCCTATGAATTTTTGGTAGGAGATAGAAAATACCTGGCTGAGACTCATGAGGGGTTGCCCTTGTAGTTTATGTCTTAGATATCTGTGGGTAATTATTTCATCAAGTTGGGTAACCCCTTATGGTGTTTCTCAGTAGAGCCTGTGCTTAAGGAACTCTCATGTGTGGTACAAGAGAATTACCTCCAGGTTGTTTGTGATCCCAAGACCTCTTTTGTCAGCCTCTTCAATTATGATGTCGGCATTGTTAACAGCAAATGATAACAGAGGCTATAGAGGACATTACATTTTGTGATACAGTGTGATAAATGATGATGTCTGGTTACTACTTTAGTTTCAGTTTGATGACAGATTCTATGTGAAAATCCAATGCAGTGTTTTCTGACCAGCTATAGAGATCCATGAAGAATGCTGCAATATTCATCAGTATTCCTAATATCACTGACTTACGGTCTTACATTAACCATCTCCTAGCATTGTGCCAGTTTACAATATGAAGGACAAATAACTGGTTTATCATGTTGCATAATGTTACAGCTAAATCCACCAGGACAGGATCAAATTGGAATGGAGCAGGGATTAGGACAGCCCCCATCCCTCTGCCAATGGTCCACTCACTTTTTGGTGTACACTGCCTAGTCATCTACGGCAATCACTCATGTGGAAAGAGAGTGGTGTGCAGATGAGACTCTGTTGCCCTGTTATTCCCTACTCAACACTAAACATGGCCTCTGTTTAAAATTTGCAGAAATCACATCCATTGGGGATCCCATACCGTTTGCACCATGTAAGATTTCTACAGGAACATAACCCTGTAGGATTGTCCTTTCTGACAAGACTTTCAGTCATTGTTTTTATATACTGCACTGATTCAATAAGTGTTCTTGGTTCCTTTAGGTTATTTATGGTTTTTTTTCTTGCAAGCAAGAAAAAAAGACGGTCCAATGCTTTTCAATGAGAGAGAAAAAAAATCACCAAAAATTAACGACGACTCAGAACAACACCAAATTAAGTTTGCATAGGTTTCAGGAGGTGGGCTAATGATTGCAAGCATTAATCTGTTTCAATTGGAACGGATTAACTGGTTTTCAATGCATTCCTATGGGAAATGGTGTTTCACTTAATGATGTTTTCACATAACGATTTTTTTATGGAACCAATTAACATCGTTAAGCGAGGCACCACTGTATTTCCTAATATGTATCATTGGACAGTGAAGTTGCACCCACTACACCTTTTTTTTTCTTGCAAGCAGATATGTCTGACAGTAAATGCCAAAACCAATTATCACTTTCTTTGAAAACCAAGCTCTGATGGTCTAAACTCTAGACTGCAAAAAACTCAAGTTATGGATTTGTCAGTGGCTTTACGTAATCTCAGACCAGATTCAATACATCACTTTAGGCTGACTCTGTAATCATTTCTGGATATCTTTCATCAACAAAACTGTCCTTGGAATTACAAGCTTTTAACTTCAGTTGTAATGTACGGTATTAGAAGAGGCCACAGCTAACCTAATTCTTATATACTTACAGACATGAGTGACCATTCGTTAATTAAATTTCTATTAACTTTCCAGTTGTTGCACTCTATGTGTGTGTGTCAATTCCACCTGATATTTGAATATGCTGCTACATTTCAGAGTACAAAACCTCAACTAACACAGAGGGTGAGATAATTGTTTCTAATGTAACACACAGCAGCTGTCTTTTTAACTAATGATACGACAGAGGAGTTCAGAAGAATTTAGTTTAACAAAAATATTTTATCTTGGTGATCATTTAAAATTCAGTTTCAGTTTTGATGGCCTGCAGGAATTAGAAGTATCCTTAAGTTTACTTTCTGATTTTTTTTCCATCCCAAAATGACAGTTGCTAAGTCTTCTGTGGCTCCCATATAGCAGAGAAATAACTAGAAGGCAGCAGGCACACATAGCACAGAGAAGAGCTCTCACTGACAGACAGGAGCTATTGCCTAATATGTATTATTGGACAGTGAAGTTGCACCCACTACACCTGAGTAGTAGTCAAATTAGTATTTGAGAGGATGGGAGAGTAATGAAAAAAGGTTAAGGAACTTTCTGTTTAATATGAGGTGGAAGGAGGCAGAGGAGTTGTCGGTGGATAAGCAGAAGGCATGCCACATATGTATTTCAGTCACTCTTTTAGCAAGCTCCATCAACATGAGGTCACTGTGGTGTATCTTTACCCTTCAAGCATGAGAGCACAATGACTAGTCTGTCTCCTTCAGGCAGATCACTGTGACTTCATCAGCATGAAGTCACAATGATCTGACTCTCTTCTTCAGGCAGGGCACATCAGCATGTGGGCACCACAACCTGTCTCTCTCTTTCAGGAAAGCAGCATCAGCATCACATCACTGTGGCCTTTCTGTTGCCTTCAGGCAAGCCACATCAGCATGAGGGCACAATGCCCAGGCTCTGTCTCTGGGATGGCAGGAGCACATGGCAATGTCTCTCTTCCTCTTGCCCTCACGAATGGTCAGGTGTGAGCAGTGGGCCCAGTCACTTTCTCACTGAAGAAGCCCTGGGACATGGCCTCTCTTGTTTACTGAAGGGAGTGCCAGCAGTGTGAGGGCATAATGGGACAGGATTTCTGTCACTGACATGGGAAGCGGCACATGAGAAGCATCAGGCAAGGAAAAGAGGTGAGAAGTGAATGCAGGCATCAGTCCTCTAAGCCGAAGACTGAGGTGCTGTGAGATTGTCAGCCGGTATTTCTTCCGTTTCCTCTGTTCTTGCATTCTCATTTTCTTACTTCCTGTCACATGCCTTTACTTTTATCAGCGATGCAATCATTTGGCAGGGCCAAGGCAGTTTCCCCCCATCTCATCTGTACTGCTGGGTACCATTGGCATGCCCCACCTGAACTGCTCCCATTGGTAGTGGTTAATCAAAATACATACTACATTTTATATTTAATTCCTGTATTCCTATCCATGGTATCTGCCAGTGTAGTGTATTAGGTAGAGTAATGGACGAGGACTCAGGAGACCTGGCTTTGATTCCCTGGCTCTGCCATGGGAACTCGCTGAGGGTGTGGACCTGGTAAAACTATTCCTTAAATAGCTCATTTGCCTCAAAAACCCTGTAAGCTGATCTGATGGCACATAGCAATAACATTCCTATTCCTAGGACTTCAGGTCTGTTCCCAGTGTACAGGGTATACTGATTTTCTGTTATTAGCAATGACTTGACTGAATGTTTAAAACCCCTGCCTTGGCTAACTGGCTATTCCTTCTGGGTTTTTTTTTTAAACAGATTTTATTTTTCATTGTTTCCTGAGCAGCTCAGTTAAATCTCTTAATGATCATGCCAGCCTTGTGGTTTTAAAATGATGTGAATTAGGGACAGAACTAAAACCGGTAAGTTATTTCATGTAAGTCACCGAACAGGATCATGTTGAGCTTTGAAATAATGGAGCAGCTTTTGCCTAGAGGGGATATGGTTTTGTCAACGGAAGAGCAGCCGCCCTGCAGCATTCAAGCCAAACTGACAATTTGATGGGACTCTGAAGCATCTGCATCATTTGCTTTCTGGCACAAGGTTGTTTGGTGGAGAAGTTTAATCTCAGGAGAGCAGGAATCATTAGCTGTATAAGAGTATTTCTTGGGGGAAGCTGAGGCTTTGATCTGTCATGCAAATGCAGCAGAGCTCACTTTGCTAATCTGTGAAACAGCTAAGGCTGCCATCCTCTGCACACATTTCCTAAGAGGTGCACCCCACTGCACACGGTGGGATTTACTCCTGAGAAATATAGTTAGAATCAGGTTGCACGTCTTGAAGAGCTTAGATATCCTCCCTGACTGCCCCCCCATACAAACTCAGAAGTGGGGAGCTATAGCTAAACATCTAATGCTTGTGATGGTAGAGTTGTTTTTGATAAATTGTATTGCACTATACCAAAATATGAAGTTTAGTAAGTGAATGAACCAGGTGACACTAGTAGGTGAATACTTCTCTCAAGGATATCTTAATTTTAAACAAACAAACAAAAAAAGATCAGCAGACAAAAAGACAGGCAAGCAAGTTGGCTAAGCCCATGGTTATCAAGCCATGTGCTCCAGTGCTAGAAGTCCAGTATAAGCGAATCTCACTGTCCACTGTGAGCATCATCATTTTCTTGCTTAACTACTTCAAGAGGACTTTCCTCTGCCTGCCTTAAGGGAATCCAGGTTGCCCTTTGCAAAGATGGCAGCTACAGCTTCCCAACCCTAAAGGAAGCCACAGCCACCATCTTTGCAAAGGGCAGGCAGTCTCCATTTCTACATGCGTGGCTCCAAGGCCAAAAGACCTCAAGCAGTGGTGATTAAGGTAGGAGGGTGTTGGCAAGGCCTAAGGTGCGGGTTTACTCATGAGTAAGTGCTGACAAAGGCATGGATCTACTCATGAGTAAGTGCCGCTGAACAACCTGGATGGGGCATGCAGGTCGGAGGAGCTCCGTGGACCCGGCGTGTGGCAGGAGGAGGAAGGAGAAGTGGCTGGGGGTGCCTGGTGCTTTGTAAGCCGGGGAACCCTCCAAGGGTGTCAGTGAAGGTGGGGTGGGGCCTTCTGAGGTCTCCAGAGGGCTGGGAAGGCAGCGATGGGGCCGGGGGGGGGAGTATTCGCTCCATAAGACACACACACTTTTCCCATCACTTTTTGGGGGAGAAAAACTGCGTCTTATGGAGAGAAAAATACGGTGTGTTGCCTATTGGTGTATACCAAATAAGATCATTTTGTGCTTATAAATTAAAGGAAAGTGTTTGACTGCATTGATCATGAAACACTACAGGTCATTCTAAAAGAGGTGGATGTATCACAATATTTGGTTGTCCTGATGCATTATCCATACTCTTGACAAGAGGCTAATGTTAGGACAGAATATGTTGAAACAGAATGATTTCCTATTAATAAAAGTGTACACCAGACAAGGGTGTACATTATTTCCTTATATGGTTACTCTGTATGCAGAACATCATGTGGTACTCTGGATTAGATTCTGATGAAGAGTAAACATTGGTGAAAGAAACATTAGTACTTCAAATATGAAAATAACAGTATATTACTGTAAAAATACGAATATCTTGAAGCAGACATCAAAGATTAAAAAAGAAAGTGCAAAACTAGGATTACAGTTGAACAAAAATCATGACTATAGAAGTATTATATAATTTTGATTCTGACAATAAAAAAATAGGAATTGCTGAAGGTGTTTTATACCTCAGTTCAAACAGAGATTATAAAGAAGACTGAGACTTTGAATAGCATCCATGAAGGAACTAGATAGAATTTTTAAGTGCAAGGAATTTTCATTGGAAACTGTGAGTGGGTTCTCTATTATCTTGAGGAGTGATTCTTCCCGGGGAGACAAAAGAGGAGTCAGAATTGAAAATTAAAGTATTTTTATTAACAACTGGGTTCACTATTGGGTTCATTTCTTCTTCTTGGTTACAAACAACAGAACTTTGAACTGATAACTGGGGAGGAGAACTTCCCCAAACCCATAACATAGATTTGTCTTCGTTTAAATCTTTCAATAGTAAATTCTTGCTTTTTCTTCCTCCTCCGTCGGTTGTCTCATGAAGTTGTTTCGTACTGCACACAGGGTCCCGCAACAAGGGTGGCGGGCCCAATCTCCCTCTCTCTGGACTCTTTCCTCTACTTCTGGTGGGATATGATGTACCAGACGTGCTGGACCTTGTTTCATCGGGTACACCAGCACCTTCCATTCCTCCGGACTCAAACCAGGGATGATGGGTCTTATCTTGCTGCTAGCTCGGTTTTCTTCCTCTTCACTTGTTAGATTCACTGAGTGTCTTTTAACTGGAACTGAAAAGACTTGGGCATCTCTCTCTGTTTTCCCGGACTCGCTCTCTCTAAAGACTGACACTTTCTCCGTCTCTTTAGAAACGTTTCCTTCTTCAGTCGTTAAGAATACATCTATCTTCTCCCTTTCACCATGAACCGGTCTCCTGTCTTTCCCCTCTGGTCTCTCTAACGGACTCAACTGCCTCTCTTTCGCGCGCGCTCCTTCATCTCGAGCTCTTTCTACTTTCGTCTCGCGACTTTCCTCTACCCCTTCTGCTTGTCTTTTTGCCTCAGGTTCCTCGGGTTTCTCTGATTCTACCTCAATTACCTGAGGGGACGGCTCACTCTTAGTGGTCTCTCTATTCTCCTCCTCACAGAAACCAAAGCCAGATCATCCATACACGAGTACCCTCATTATGTACAGATATGAAATGAGAGGGGAAAAAATGTCACTTGAAATATGACTCTCAATGGAAGCTTTATGGATATGGTGGACCTCCAGGAGAAAAATAAGTGGGTGCTAAATCAAATGAAGCTTCAATTTTCAGTAAGAGCGAACATGGATAAATGAAAGTTGTAGACATAAGAACACAAGATCCACAGAAAAAGACAATGCTAGGAAGAATAGATGATAATTTCCAAGAACTGAGAAGGCTTTTAACTACAAGATATTTTGGAGACCTTCACGTATTTTGGAAATCCCTTGATGGCACATAAGAATACCATTCAATTCTTCAAAAAGCTGTTTATGAATGTGGGGTGGTGTGTATTTGTATCCATGATTCAAAACGCCAAAAAAAAAAAAAACCAACAGAAAAAAAGGATGCCAAGTTTTACATAGCAAAGGACAGCCTAAATAATGACAACAATGGCAGCAGTCAGAATGGTCTGCAGGATACCCCCTTGTGCTCACTATCATTCTCAAAATGTCACCAAACAAGGGAAAGTCCCACTCAAACACAAAGCCATTGTCAGGGCTGTTTTTCAACAAGGCTCTTCACTCTCATGTGGTGAGAATACTGGAAGGAAGATGATAAACTCCCAAGAGCCCAACAAGGCTTTCTGGCTGCTTTTTTAAGGTGTTACTTAAAGAAATACCCCAAACACCTTTAAGCCACAACTTTTTTTTGATCATGTTCACCAGTGTGCCCTCTCTGTGTAAATGACCTGTCCTGACACTGATATGAAGCATGTACGTACTAATTTGTGAAACTAACCACATATATTCATCTCTTTGAAATAGTGCTAATTGCTCATCTATTTCATTAAACAAATATATGTCTAAATACCTTAGAGTTTCCTCTCAATGTACCAAAGTTTCCTGAGGTTAAAATACAGGTGTGTATTTTAAGCTCAGGACCACTTTATCACAAAACTAAATTCCTAGTTTGGCATGACTTAAGCATAGACAGCAGTATGTTTGCCATTTTCATTTCATCATGTGATGGATACACTTAAAACATTTTGTGAAATGTGCATGCTGCATAAACCAACCAGATTGTCCCAACACATGTACATGTTATGAAATACATAAGATGCACACTTTTCACACATGATACCAGTATTTTTCACCATTGGGTTCTTGTTGTTGTTAACCCTTTGATTTATACAGCCATTGGTGTACACACCCACAGAGAAATTTATGCAACTAATACACAAGGGATGTTTATAGAAGGCATAACTTCAGGTGAGCCTTGTGAATTTTAAAAGGCAGGGATCTTAGAAGCTAGTTAGTAGGGTTACTCTAATTCTTGTAGATCAGCTGCCTGGGAGAAGAAGAAATACTTGTGATTCTGTTTGTACTATGCAACTGATGGTTAGTGGTCTCATTGTTTGTTTAAGGCATACATGTGTATAAGCACACAGACATGAAACACTAGAACCCACCTTGGTTACTGTATTCAGTGGAGCTTGTGCCACCAGGTGGAGGTGGGATTGATGGATAAGGTGATGGACCTGGACCTAGAGCTGCAATCATTTCCATCACGTTAGGCATGATCATCTGGCTAGGACTCATTGTTTTAAACCTCTTGGAAGGCATGCCATCTGGATCGTCTTTGATGTGAATGTCTGACTTGATTGGGACAGGTCTCCAGCTGCACGTTGGGTCGATTGTGACTTCTTCAAACTCAGAACTATAATATACAAGATGTTTCATAATGTTTTTGCTGCAGTATTTTTTCATTAGACTTTACTGATCTTAAACTCAGTGTACATACAGATTCTTTTTTTAAAAAAGAAGAAGAAAAAAACTGCTGGATAGGTCAGTGGTTTAGATATCTGGCTGTAGAGCCAGAGATTGGGATTTCAAACCCCCACAGTGCCTCTTGGGACAGGGGTAGGACTCAATGATCCATAGGGTCCCTTCCAGCTCTGCAGTTCTAAGATTATTAAAAATGAAAACCCCTTCTTGAATTATTCACATAATATGATGGACTGACACCTTTATCTATTCACCCACTACCAAAAAGAAGCAGCACTGGCTTCTTTGCACAGTGTTGCTAAAATGACTGGATTGTTTTCATTTGTATACAGATTCTCTCATTGGCCACTTGGAATAACTGCCATCATGACCTCACAATGGAATGAGCTTTTCAGCAACAACCAAGAAAGATCCCTTTTACTGGGCCATCAGATGTAGCTCAAGTATAACCCCCTTCTGACATGTTTTGAATAAGTGGCATCTATTACATAGAATTAGGCCCATCTGAATCAACAGAACCTATGGAGGAGCTGACTTGCTGAATCCCTACTGATTCAGTGGGCCTACTCCAGTGCAGCTTACTATGCTAAGTGACAGGATTTCAGCTGAAAACAGCATTGAGGTCAATTATAGAAAGCAGCTCCGTATGAACAATCTGCCCAGCAAAGACCTTGAGTAGAAAATTCATTCATAACATTTGAAACAAAGCCATGGGGTTTATTTTTCAATAGTGAAGCTGCACTTACTTTTGTATGGCGTTGAGAATGCCCCACATATACTGGTCTACTTCCAAGCCCTCCAGCAGAGCTGTTTTACTAGAAGAGAAGACAGTGCATTCCTTTATTTAACGACACCCACAACATATATGATACTATATAGAACAGCACATGCGGAAGACCTGCAATCAGGAACCTGCAATCTCACTTCAGATTGGATGGTGGAAATGGAGCAAGTGCAATTGGATCTAATTAACCTCCATTTCAATGTGGAAGGGAGAATATTGAGATTAATGCTTTAACTCCCACACTGGGATAGGCCCCGCTTGAAAGGTATGAAAATATGAGATATGATTGCAAATTTGCAAGGAGGACAAAGGACCCTAAGAGGGGATAGGCCCCTCTTTAAAGGTATGAAAATATGAGATACGAGTGCAAATTTGCAAGGAGGACAAAGGACCCTAGGACAGATCGTATCTTTCTCTTACACTGAACGCTTGGTAGACTGAAACCACTTGGTAATAAATAGGCTCTCACTGATTGATATTGGGCTTGTCTTCCCATACAAGGTTTTATGAAAGTTTGGGGATGGATCGTCCTATTCCTCCACATCTCTCTGTCAAGGCTACTACCCTATTTTACAGATCCTCATATGCAGCAACATATAGGTATGTGAGTCAAGGATCTCTGCATCTTCGCACTTGAACAGATGACTGGAACTAGACAGAGGATGTTCAGAAAGGACACAAAATAGGGAACTACTTTTGGGAAACATTGGCTTAACCTAAAGGCTTCAGGGCAAGGCTGGGTGTTTCATTGGGGTCTGAAGGAAGAGACAGCAGCAAAATATAAATATGTGAGAAACAAATTTTAAGGATAGCAGGGAACAAGGGAGGAAGTAAAGATATAAAAAAGAGCAAGAGACCTTTGGCAGCTCAAGGTAGAAAAACTAGAGGAAGCTAGAAGATATGAATGAGATGCAGATGGATTTCAGTCCAGAATTTTGTTGCAACTGCTAACATGGAATCCAAGGAAGTTTGGGGTAAATTGCTTTATCTTGTTCTCTTTGCATAAAACATTGTCTTGTCACATTATAGTGTTTTGTGCCCACCAACAATCAAAAGTATCTGCAGAAATATGCTCCCATATGAATCTTTTTCATGGTTCAAATGTCATTTCTAATGAAAGGAGAGACAACTATGGCTGGCCAAGATTTTTAGACTTAATTTCCCAAAGTCCAGCCCTTAGCAGCCACAATTGACAGCCAAAATCCAGCAGTGTACGTACATTTGTACTCAAGGTCAGCCAAATAGGGACACCCCACCCGTTACTGCTCTACATGTTGCCCTCCCCCCAAAAAAAACCACCCTTGTAATGGACAGTTTCCTGATTTCCCCAAGCAGGTTTTAAAGGTATTCTAGCACAAGCAAACTGATGAGTGGGTGGGTCTGGAAACTTCCCTTATATATTCCCTCAAACTTCAATCATATATATATGATTCAGAGTATATATATTTAGATACTCTTAGCATACCTTAATTTTTAGCCACATTCAATGAAAAAACTCCCAACCCTTGCACAAAGCTCATGGTCACTGACTTGTTACTGAATTTCACCCTCTAATACCTGTGCAACAAGCAGCATATATATATATATATATTCATATGTATTCTCAATGCAGCATTTGAAAAATACAAATTTAGAGGTTGAGCAGGAGATCAGTAAATTATACTTCTGCCTGGAGAACTATGAAACCACAGCTTATTTTAGATATAGATTCAGTCTATATACTGATTTCCTCCACACCCCGCCTCCTCTGTGAGGAGATAAACAATCGTTAAATTAAAACAGAAGTTGTCAGATCTTTCAATATTAAGTGTAACTTTCCATGCCAGCATGCCCCCTATGGAATTCCTGCCCATCTCAAAGGATTTTGAGCAACAAAACGATGCCCTTCCATAGCCTGAGACCCTCCAGATATGTTGGATTACAACTTCCATCAGCAAGGCAAGTGGTTAGTTCATGGGATGGGGTGGGAACTGGTAGTCTAACACATTTGGAATACACACCGTTTGTGAAAGCTCATGTAAAACAATCCTCACAGTAAGATTAGCCAATGTCCTTCATGATAGACCATCTACTGAAAAACTCATATTTCCATTCCCTTGGACAAACCCTGAAGAATTTTTTTTCTTTTTAAAGCAAACTATGCCACCTGTATACTTTTCACTCTAGTTAGGTCAAAGGTAGAATTTTTGCAAAGGCCTGGTTTGACCAAGGCATTTGCATCATCAGTATTTTTGCTGACTTGTTAGGAAAATGCTTTCATAAACAACATATCTTTAAACATTGTATCTTATCTTGTATTATTACATGATAAGGTGAACTTTTAAAAAGTCCCCTCATATTTTTATTTATCTTATTTGATCGTTTATTATTACTCTCCATCTCAAAAAAAACAAAATTAGTTTGTTTTGCTTTAAAAAGATTAGTTTTAAAATGTCATTGCCTCATATTGAATATTCCTACTCACTTGCATACAGGACACCTCCACGTCCCTCGTTCACAGTTCAACTGCAAGTAGGATTCCAGATCAAAACACTGTAGAGCAGAAAAACAGCCATGTTAGCTAAACAACCCTATGGCTCAAGTACAATGAAACTGAATAAAGAGGTTGTTGATGGAAGGTATCTTTCCCTAATGTACAGAAGTCGTGGTAGGGAGATGAACATTTTTACTGAATACCTATAAGAAACAGATTATCCTCAATATATGTTTCCTGTGTAAATAGTACGAGCAAGTTTAAAGCATGGGAAACCATGGGAAACATTGCAGGTAAGATAAAAGGGTTGCGGGTTGAGAAGACTGGAAGGAATTTGTCAAACCAGGAGGAGAGGATAGAATATAGTAGCTAAGAAAAGAGAGGAGAGACATACCAAGACTACACAGAAGAGGGCCTCTTTAACAGTGGTCAGTTTATGAAAAAGAAAGGCTTGCCTAGAATACCAGCTTCTGACGTTTTAAAATTTATCCAGGCCATCTATCTCAATGTCATGTGAGCATCATATTATTATTTCTTGATTATCGTTACTTATTGGTTTTTCACTTCACCTGAGTGGGTTTGTTGTTTTTCTTTGTGACTATCTGACTTCCGCTAATGTTGCTTTTTGTTGTATCCTTTTATCTGGGATTTAAAATCATACTAATGTACGTCACCCTGATCATGGGTGGGCAACCCACAGCCCACATGTGGCCCTTGAGGCTAATTTTTGTTGCCCCACAGAACAGTCCCAAAAGCACACCACTAAATTTCAGAAACAATCAATGTGGCTTCTAAGCTGTATAGCCACACAGAGCTGCATTGGTGCCATGCAGCCACGCCAGTGTTGCCACCCATCTGCTTCTGCTTGAAGGCGTTGCATTTTACATGAAGCATTTTATTGCACCTTTCCCCATCTGGTTTCTTGATTCATTGGGAACTAGTAATAAGCTGTATGGAAAGCTCACTGGAATGGAACACTCATACTCCTTCTACACTTATGGTACTAACTGGAGATCTGCCCCAAGCTCATGACCAAGAAATATACAGCCCACAAGCCATTCATAAATGATAGTCCATTAGAACTCAGTAACAATACAGTGTTTGCTACCTACCTGCAACTGCCAGAGCAGGTTGGGTATAGGGGAGATTGCCGAGTACATAGCAGTACCCAGTATTTGCCTGATTTCTGACCTTTCTTCCTGGTAGGGGGACCCAAGGGAGTTACTGAGATCCAATATATATATACATTGTGCTATACGAAGTGGTAAGCTGTACAGATCTGCATCATTGGGACACAAGAAGGCATTCACCTGAACATGTTTGCAATCATGGCCTCTTGCTGGAAGCTGGATCCGCCGGAATGTGATTGGACACTTCAGAGACACTTTGATAGCTGTCTGCTCCACGCCATCCTCCCCATTGAGGGTTGCATTGCCAGAGGAGGCTGCCACGCTGCTAAAATTCCTCTTGACTGTTTAAGGAAGTTTGCATAAGAGTATTAGAACTATCATCTTAATATCACAGTACACATTATATATGTGATACAGAATTCCCAGGACTATACTAGATGCAAATCCTGAATTTAACTCGTTGTATGAGCCTCCACACAAAAGTTAAAAATACTGCTTTACTCACTTTTGGTGATACAGTGCTCAGCTGGAAGGAGACGTTTCTTTAGCAAGCCCTGAAGAACAGAACGCACTGATGGCCGGTGTACTAACTGCAAGACGAACAAATGTGACTGGGGGAAGAACAAAAGAAAAACAAAATTAAAATTCCTACATCTGTACAATCAAGTCAACAGGCCAATTTGACCTGCCAAACTGAACTGAGGATGAGACTTTCCGAGTCCCTCGCTGAGTGTGTGCTTTGCTCCTTTCTTGCCTTTCCTGTGAGAGTTGGTGAGGGAAGAGTGAAGGCCCTTTCACAATGGTGGTGCCAGTTTTCCAAATGCCTCTTCCACATAGAATTGGTGGAAGAATCACCAATAGACATAGGATATTTCTATTTGTATCCCTGGAGATACGAATATCAACACCAGCACCACAGGTGCCTGGGAAAAAACGACCTTCCCCCTCGAACCGGCAGATCCACTTACCATTCGCAGCGTGATGCACACAGCCAGTGTTGTTCTCATTGCGCAAATCCAGGAAGCAGCCTGGCGGGTGCTTCCCTGCCTCACTGCGCAGCCGACCACTCTGATGAGGCGGGATGAAGAGTCTCTCCACTCAACTGTTGAACCATCAGCTGTGTGGGGAGGTGGGGAATTACCAACCAGGCTGCTTCCTGGATTGGCACGGTGAGGATGATGCTGGTTGTGCGTGGTGAGCAGATACTGGACCTGCCAGTCTGGGGGGGCAGGGGGGGGGAAGAGGGTCCGGGTTTCCCAGGCACCTGTGGTGCTGATGATCATATTCGTATCTCCAGGGATATGAATACAAATATCCCATGTCTAATCATTAATAATTTAAGGTACCCCAATGATACCACATTACTGGCAGAAAGCAGCAATGGCTTGGAATGATTACTGAGAAACATTAAAGATAAAAGTACAAAAGCAGGATAGATGACTGATGAAACTTTTACAGATGTAAGAAATGGATGTGTGGCTACATTAGAGGAAAAAGTAAAAGGTGACAGAAGATGGCAAATCAACTAGCTCTGTAAGTTCCATTTATTTAAATGGGCCTACTCTAACTGCAACTTACTATGCTAAAGTAAGTCTCCATTAGAGGGGTCTCAGAGGACCTGTTGAATCAATGGAATTTACAAAGGAGTTGACTCACCAAATCCCTGTTGATTCAGTGGGCCTACTCTAGTGGGCCTACACAGCTAATTTAAATAATGTATCTTACTTTTGCCGGTCAATGACCATAATAAACATTTATTATTATTATTACTGTACACAGCAATAGTTTGAAACTGTCCCAGAAGCTCATTAACTGACCTGGTCCTGAAACTTTTATCCTGGATATGACACTAAGGGCTAAAGCCAAAAGTTATGTACCTGCTTTGACTGGGGTTGCCCATCAACTAGGCAAACCTAGGTATCATATCATATCAACTTACTAATTTTATAAACTTAGAATTCAAGACTGCAATTTAGCCTGACTGGCTGAGTAATTCATTTTCTTCACACATTAAAAGAAATAATGTTGGAAAATAATGTCTATCAAAAATGCATGATAGAACTGATCCTTTGACCAAACTCCGGGAGGCAGTGGAAGACAGGAGGGCCTGGCGTGCTCTGTTCCATGGGGTCACAAAGAGTTGGTCACGACTTCACAACTAAACAACAACAACAAAGAACTGATCCTGATTCTCTTTAAACTTTTCACTGGATGAGTGATGGTATTAGTTCACTTGGTAGTCAGAAATTACATGAGATATTTCCCCTGTTCCCCAAACAGAAAATTTAGCTGTTGTTATACGTGGTGGTAAAAACAGCATACTGCCCTTAACATTCCTGAGCTTGTCCACGTTCAGAAGTCAAATGTGTTCAGGCCTTGTTAGTATTTGGGTCAGAGATGAACAGGAGATATCAAGTATCTTCAGGGAGAAGTGTTCCTGCCAGTTAGAGCTGACAGTTCTAGACTAGATAGACCAATGAGATGACAAACTAGGAGTCCTAATAGTTGGAATTTAATAAATAACCATTTTCATCCTTTCCAAGTAGCTCAGTATTCACCAGCAGTGGCAGCTTGCTTGACAGTCTCAACCAAGCTTTGAATTACCAAATTGCTGCATTGTTCTGAACTACTTCTGGGTATATCATCATGCCAGTTTTATGCACATGCATGCAGAAGTAAGTCCTCCTTGGTTCAATAGAAGTTATTCTTGGGTCAGTGCATATGGGACTGAACATGTGCAGTACACATGTTCTATGAGTTGGATTGGGCTCCAAATATACCTGAGACTAGAAACTAAACTTGAGGTGATTTAGCTTCTTTCTGATCTGGTATTCTCAATAAAATAAAATCCATGAAAAAGACCACTACGAAAGTAAAACACCAGTGAACTGGAGACTAGAACTGCTGAACTAAAATACTTTTAGACTAGAAGTAAAATACTTCTTTTTTTTCATCAGAACGTAGTCATAGAGGTGGCAGCAGCAGCAGCAGGAGGTCCAATGTACTCACACAACAGCATGCTGTGACAGTCTAGACTAGAACTAAAATACTTCTTTCTTTCATCAGAACTTAGTCATAGAGGTGTCAGCAGCAGCAGCAGCAGGTCCAGTGTACTCACACAACAGCATGCTGTGACAGTAATTTGGATCGTATTTCTTCCTGGCTGGCAGACGTGCTTTAGGTGCAAGGGTTTATGCGATGTCTTGTTGTCACCTCGTTCGATGGTAAGTGGAGTTGCGTTGACACTGACTTGGACTGACGCTGGCCAGTTGGTGTTCATCTGTCTGTCTTCATGGTGATAGCACTTGAACTGGAGTTCTAAGTCTGACCTGTTATGGAAGGCAAATATTTGGCCTTAGCACAGGCAGCTGCTTTTTATAAGTAACTTTATAAGTAATGACACTCCTGTGTTTTTGTTAACAGTGGGTAGATTTTTCCTGCTCTGTTAACTTGCTTTGTGCAGTGTGGCTCTGTTTCAAGTTTCTGACAAATAAATGCATGATGCAAGGTAGAATGGAAAAATATCTACTTATAGTTCCTACACAGCTGCAAAGTTATGAGGGTAATAATAATATCAATACATTACAATCCCACATGAGTTTTCATATCGATGACCTCAAAGCAGCTTATCCAAAGGTGGCCATCTAAACTGCTGGAAATGACTCAGAAGACAGGATGAACGGTGTTTTGTGGAATCTCCAAGAATTAAGGGTTAGAAATAAGAAAGTTAAATATACGCACTGAATCAAAGTAAATAGACATGCACTACCTGGTTTCTCCTTTCTAACTCATATCTGTTTCTTGCTGCCACATAGCAATACCAGAGAGGCTACTAGAAAGACAATGGCTGAAATCCAATAGTAAGTCACAACTAGAGCAGGCCTGCTGAATCAATGGAATTTATGGATAAGCTGACTCACCAAATCCCTATTGGTTCAACGGGCCTACTCTAGTTGCCAATGAGAACCCAGCTATACTAAACAATTGGTAGCAAGGGCACTGTCAGTTACAATTGTGTGCCATCGAGTCAGTTCTGATTCATGGTGATCCTTCCATTGTTTTTCTAGGCACAGATTTACCATTCTCTTCTTTGGGGTTTGTGTGTGCGTGTGTGTCACGCTGGGACTGTGTAGCTTCTTACATAGGCTGGCCCTTCTCCTAGGAGACACCCAACCTCTGGCTCTGCAGCCAGATATCCAACTCACTGAGTTGTCCACTCAGCTAAAGGTACTATAGGCACTTTAGAAAGAGTCAGGGCCCATGCCCAGAGGGTAGCATTGTGCACACAGTTTATATGTGAGACTTAGAAATAATTACCAGAAGTTATTTAAGTTTTACCAAAAACAAAGTCAACAAGTTGCTCACCAATTGAATCATATCAAGTGAAATAACTTAATTAATTTGTACCCCATCCCCACAACACCCTAAATATAGACTCAATTCACTAATTCCTTTTCAGTTACAATTAATCTGTGACCTATGTGGAAAATTGCATAGAAAAGAGTGTATGCATACACACACACGTATAATGAAGCTGGCAATGTTCACACCATTATGGGGTTTCAAAAATATGACAGCCCAAATCAAAAAGCAGTCAAGGCCAAATCAATGAGTCACCTCTATTTAATTTTTCAGTTCCCAGTGAGATCCTGTTACAAAATGTAATCAATTCCCCTTGAGCCAATTCAATTCACAACGTTCATCAATAAGAGTTACCACCATAAATTAAATTCAAAATAAGATAAAAGGGTTCACAATTCTACTTGTTTGGGGTATCAAGATCATGAGTGGCCAATGGAAAGCGAGGCAGCATATAAATGGAATAATTTAATTACTAAATAAAATAGGAAATGGGCAGATTAGATAGATGAAAGAAGCAAGGAAGAAATGTATTTATTTATTAGATTTATACCCCGCCCATCTGGCCTAAAAGGCCACTCTAGGCAGCTTCCAAATTTATGAGCAGAATTGGGGAGTAGCAAGAAGGACCTCCTTCCCAGATCGTTGAACTTTCCAGGGGAGTAAGAAGTAGATTTTTCTTCCTTTCTTGCCCATTAATTTCCCTCTGTCCCTTCCCCCACTTTTCTCTCCTTTTTCTCCAGGAACAAAATTCTATGTACTTTCCTTCCCAGTTGCTTGACTGCTCCCTTCCAAATTTATGAACAGAATTGGGGAGTAGCAAGAAGGACCTCCTTCCCAGATCGTTGAACTTTCCAGGGGAGTAAGAAGTAGATTTTTCTTCCTTTCTTGCCCATTAATTTCCCTCTGTCCCTTCCCCCACTTTTCTCTCCTTTTTCTCCAGGAACAAAATTCTATGTACTTTCCTTCCCAGTTGCTTGACTGCTCCCTCCCCTCTATGATAATTAAGCTGAGGAGGAGGAGACCTTCAACTGCCACCAACAGTGTCAAGGTTCCTGGGTTTAACTGTCATACAAAGGGGCAAAGGGGGGCAGTTGCAGGAGAGCCAACCTTTCTTCCCAGCTGCAGCCAACCTTGAAATGCCCTTTTGCAAGAAATTCAGCTGGCAGCCATTTCTTGAGGAGCATTTTACTGTATGTTGTGCAGAAACACAACATACATTAATGACATACATGTCATTTAAGCATGCACAGGCCATTCACAGTTGATAATTATATTTACAGTTTATTATTCAAAGTGGTTTACTTTTTGTACTGGCTTAAAAGGAAGCCTCACCTAAAATGTGATTTATGTCTGAAAAAAGCCACCAAAGGAACTAACTTGTAGTTCACTGAAGGTATCGCTCGCCATGTCATTCTCTCTCACACTGACTCATTTTTACAAAAACATAACATAACAAGCAAGGGAGTTAAAGTCAACCAGAGTTGTTTTTCTCAGTGTATGTTAGATCAGTGGTTCTTAACCTTGGGTTACTCAGGTGTTTTCGAACTGCAACTCCCAGAAACCCCAGCCAGCACAGCTGGTGGTGAAGGCTTCTGGGAGTTGCAGTCCAAAGCACCTGAGTAACCTACGGTTAAGAACCACTGTGTTAGACCAGTGGTCCCCAACCTTGGACCTCCAGATGTTCTTGGATTACAACTCCCAGAAGGCTTCACCACCACCTCAGCAAGTAAGTTAAAGTCAGCCAGAGTTGTTTTTCTCAGTGTATGTTAGACCACTCAGAAAGAACCAAGCAATCAATGGAGTACGGGGGGGGGGGAACCACACCTGTGACTGGCCTGTCTCTTAACATCAAGCCAAGAGAGGTATCTCCTTTGGCAAAGGTTACACCTCTCTGTTTCTGAAACTATGTGCTCCAATAGAATTCTTAGCATTACCATTAAATATATAATCATTAAATAATTAACCATTCCCATGAATGCACAGTGTCCACCCATAGAAGAGGGTACTGTCTGTATCTCTGCTGGTTTAGCACTCTGGCCTTGCCTTCTTCCAACTGAGTTGTGCAGGGCTGGGTTATCCTGCCTCCACACAGGGTATGCCAGGGTTATTTCTAATGAAGAATTAACTTCCAGTGTAGAAAGAGAGAAAAAATACTACTGATATCAAACTAGAACAGAATTACACTTTTAAGAGCTGCCCATTATATCTCTTTGTGAATTATTAACAGTGTGGTTTTCTTTTTTCAATCAGAAGGCACAAAGAAAACAGTAACTTTTGCTGGGAAAAAAATCAGGACAAGGCCATAGGGTCCTCAAAACAAGATAAATGCAGGAATAGGTGAAAAACAACAACAACAAAAACAGTTTTCAATGATAATTCACCTTCCTCAGACTCTGCACCATGTTCTTGCGGGTAGCTCCAAAATATGTTTATATTAAAACATAAAGGGGAGAGGAAAGGGGGGGGGGAATCAGATTGCTGGCCACCTTTTGTGTAGAGAGATGGATCATAAATTCCAAACCACTGGCTCTCGCAAACTACAACAATCTCCATCTAAGAAGCTGAACCTGGCCCCCAACAGTGGCCATGAAACTTTTGGGACTTTAATATAAACATATTATTTTGGAGCTACCCACAAGAATTTGGTGCAGAACCTGAGGAAGGTGAATTATTATAAAAAAGCTTGCTCTATTTTTGCTTGGATGGTTTTTAATTTTCTTAATGGTCCAATAAAGGTATCACCTATTCCTGCATTTGTTTTGCTATTTGGTTTCCATTTATGTTACATTGTAACCAAGAAATACATATTAAGAACATGGTAATATTGGACTAGTACTACCATGTTTCCCCAAAAATAACACAGGGTCTTATACTAATTTTTGCTCCCAAAATACATTTGGCCTTATTTTCAGGGGATGTTTTATTTTTTTCATGTACAAGAATCTACATTTATTCAAATACAGTCATGTCATCATCTTCTGGTTTATTTATTTATTTAATTTATACCCCGCCTACTGCTCAGAATGAGCACTCTAATTGCTGCACAACGATGGAGGGTGGGGTTTCACTTAACTGGGGCTTATTTTTTGGCGTAGGGTTTATATTAGGAGCATCCTGAAAAATCATACTACGGCTTATTTTCAGGTTAGGTCTTATTTTCAGGGAAACAGGGTAGTATCAACTAATACATGCTAGAATGGGGGATCATGTTTACATTCTGTCCTTTTGAGAAGTATGATCTAGTGGTGACAGCAATATAATATTTTTACTGGTCAGGCAAAAATACTTTTACCTAGGAGGGTGTGTGTGTCAGGTACTGTTAATTGTTTATTGTAATATGGTTGCTGTTATAATTTTGTTATTTGTTTAACTCAGGTTTCATTAATAGAACAAAGTGAAGCCAAACTGTAGCATCCCTTCTAACTCGGAGAGGCACAGAAACAAAACAAACAAAACAAAGAAAGCCAGACTTTGTTAATATTGAGAATTCAAGGTATAAAAGAGGTTCACTCCCCATTCCCGTCATTACTATCCTGTACAGGATAAACTAAAGCCAGTTTTTACAATGCGATATCACTGCTTGTGTTACAGCAGGTCATATTCCCAAAAGCAAACATATCTTAAAAGCAAAACTAATAACTCATACTGCCATTCCTCAAGGCTGAATAAAAGGTTTCACAGTCTGCTTTTAACATCTTTGCATCTAGTAATTTAGCATGTCAGATGCAGCAAAGTATGTGAGCTTTGTTTGCTAAGACAGGAGTTCCTTGACCTAGCTGTTTCTACAAATCTTTTAAAAGTCCAAGACAAGAGCTTGTTAGTGAAAGTCGTTTGCAAAGAGCATTTTGCAGTGCATTTCCCAGTGCAGCTCAGGTCATGTGCGGACTAATTAGGAAAGAACTTTGAAACATGCCAATTAACTTATGAATGACCTGAGCTATGTTGCACATTGTTTTCCTTTGTTCAAGCATGCCCAGCTCCAGAAGAGCCTTACATTTGGCTGATCAAAGCTAAAGAGGGACAGGAAAAGATACATCTGCTTAGGTCATTTATTTATATCAACCCCCCCCCCCAAATAATCTCATTCTGTTTCAGTGGCAAATACAAATTTCACTTACATCTTTTAAAAGTATTACTTTTACACTATTGTTTCATTCTTACAACCAAGCCTCATATTCATTTTACACTCCATATATTCCTGCATGGTTTCCTTTGTTTAAACAACAGAGGGAATGTCTTTAAAATATTCCCACAGTATCTTTTTAAAAAATTAATCAGTCATTGTACTTTATAAGGATATAGGAAGTTGTGAAGTGAACAGTTGTGTCTTTCCTCCTTTCTAGTGTTGCTTCTTTCAGCTTCATTCTGCCTTGACCCGTCCCCACCATCAACAAAAAGAAATACACAGAAATGAAATAAATGACCATGACCAATGCACAAGTCTGAGAGTTATTATGAAGATGAGAATAGTGTGACTTCATTAGATGTTTCCTTCATATATATTCACACACACAGACACGCACACACAGACACACAGATATAAACAGGTATTTCTGCATTTATATCTATATCTATATCTATATTTATATCTATATCTATACAGTTGTGCCTCGCTTGACGATTACCTCGTTAGACAAGGAAATTGCTTGATGATTAGTTATTTGCAATCGCTAAACGATGGTTCAACACGGTTTTTCCGTTTTACGACGATCGGTTCCCTGATTCGGGAACCAATTTTTTGCCTAACGACAATCAAAAACAGCTGATTGTTGGGTTTCCATATGGCCACCCACTGTGCAAAATGGCTCCTCGCTGTGCTTTAGGACGGATTTCTCGCATTACAGGCACTGGAAAATGGCTGCCCTATGGAGGATCTTCGCTGGGCGCTGAGGTATTTTGCCCATTGGAACGTATTGAACCGGTTTTCAATGCATTTCAATGGGCTTTTTCGTTTCGCTTGGCGAGGATTTCACTTAACAGCGATTTGAACAGAATGAAATATCCTCGTCAAGCGAGGCACCACTGTATCTATCTAAACCCAGAAATACCTATTTACGTGTATTTTGAGGTGTATTTACCAGAACTGGCCATTAGAGGGAACCAGAGACCGTGCAATGTATAAAATTTGATATTCTACATTTTTCAGGATTTGTGGGGGCTTGAAGTTGATCCCCCCCCCGATACCCCTGTCCCACTGTTGATGGCTAAATGGTCCTATTAATATACACAAGCCTCCTCACATCAAAGAACATGGCATCTATCTCCATCTGCTGGCACAGATCGGAGGAGGCTGGAAGCTGTTGCATCTCATTTCAGTTAACAGTTCCCATGAAACTGGAAGTGAATCTCTGGGTCTCCTCAGGGTTGTGCCAGGGAAGGAAGGGGAAGGGAAGGGATGTGCTGATCTGGGGAGCAGGGCTTTTTCCACCACAACCAATTACAGGAGAAGGTAACTTCTGGGGATGGTAGTGGTGGGGATTTTTCATCACTCCAATCTTTGAGGGCTTCTCTCCTTTGAACACCTCTGTCCCCAGCAATGTATTGGCCCCAAAATTGCAAATCTTGCCTACAGAGCCCTCCAGAGAGACAAGATTTCCAATTATGGACCCCAAATTTTTTTGTTCTATGGGGTGTTAGGGGTTTGGAGAGTTCTGGTGGGAAGCTGCACCCAGCCACAGGCCGTCCTCGTTTTAGTTGCTGTTAGTTTCTGCTTTTAATCACTTAACAAATTTGATTATTATGATAGTTTAATTATTTTTTTAATGTTTTAATCTTGTGAGCCATTTTGATTCCTCTCATGAGGAGGAAGAAAGTGGCTTATAAATGAGACTAAATAAATAAATAAATCTGAGTTAAGCCACACTACCTGATAGTAGACCTTGTTTTAGTGTAGAAATAAACTATTTATATTCCATTTATTTATTACTGAAGAGAAACTTATTTACATTTAAAAATTTAAAAAGATCCTTAAAACATTTTGCGGTGGGGTAGATAAGATTTCTTACAAGAAAACTGACTATTATTCATCCTGATAGCCATATCTGAAGAACTACTTATCACCTTGCAATAGAGTTGAATGAACTGTCAACCGGTTCCTCAACACAGATGTAATGCTTAAGCATGGTAAACAGGAAACCGTCTTTGCAAGCTCACTTCAACCAATGGTTTCATATTGGGATTTACAGCTAAATCTTAACCAAGACTGAGATGCACAGACATAATTTTATCATGATAGTTAAGGAAAGCAAAGCATTATGTACATATACAGCCTCTCATTTTCTATTTCTAATAAAGCCTAAATGCAACAACAAAGAACTCTGATAGAGGAAGAACCAGTGACACTTTACTCACATTTACAATATGGGGTACTCCAAGATAACGAAAGGCAAGCTAGCTACAGGACCTCAACATTAGGGCATACATGATCCACTGAAAAATGCCATTAGCTTCTGAAGCCTACATGCAACAACAAAGAACTCTTTGAAGAACCAGTGACACTTTACCCACATTTACAGTATGGTGTACTCCAAGATAATGAAAGGCAAGCTAGCTACAGGACCTCACCATTAGGGCATTAACATGATCCACTGAAAAATGCCATTAGCTTCACATTAAAGGAAACAAAGGTTCACAACTAATTCACTGATGTCCCAAGCAGAGTGGGTAAATAATATAGATGTCCTCCACACATGGACTGGTGCAAATAAATCACTGCCCACATTTTAATTATGATTAAGGCAGAACTTTAAAAGTTACTTTTAAGAAAAATTTGGCTGAGGCCCATGGGTAATTGAGCAGTAGTAGGATCATGCTCTGGTCCCACAACATCAACCTATTGCTGCTCATACATGGTTTGCAGTAGGGTGAGCTTTAAACCATCTCACTTATTTTTAGTGGCCCCTGGAAAGAACACTGGCGCTACACAAACCAAGGTTGCAGCAGCCTGCAAAAAGGCTGGTGACCCAGGACAACATCTGTGTGCGGAGCTGGCAGCTCCTTGCAATGTCAGCTTCTTCCTGCAAGTGAAACGTAGCTTGGGCTTTGGAGGATGGAAACAGACCCTTTCTAGACATTTTCTGGCTATACAGTGGTGCCTCGCAAGACGATTTTAATTTGTTCTGCAAAAATCGTCGTCTTGTGAAAAAATCGTCTTGCGAGGTTCCCTATGCATCACTCAAAAAAAAAAGTCTTAACAAGCATCGGTCTAAAAAAAAAGTCTTGCGAAGCACTGTTATAGGAAAAAAAAAACATCTTGTGAGGCACCATAGTGATCGCAAAGACCAATCCTCTTGCAGGTTTTTCATCACACAAGGCAATCATTTAGCGAGGCACCACTGTTATGTCATACCAGGTATCTCATCATATTCATTTATGGCCCTTACATCATTTATAACAATCAGTTTCTTTCATGGTGATAACTGAGAACTGATGGTAACTATTTCAAAGCTTGAATGTATTCATTAAGGCTTGTTGTTAGTTTAAACAGTGACAAAACCCTCCAAAGAAACTCATTTCCCAGGCCCATACTGGTTTAAGAGATGATGCGTCAAGCAAATGATCATGCAATAATGTTAACCATGGTTGTGTTCTGTGCAGACCTAACTCTTGACCCTGATTGGTGGCACTGGAAGGAGGGGGAGGGGAATTTGCATTAGGCAGAGGAAACAACCAATCCCAAAGCCTCTCATCTTAACAATGAATAATGAACATGGCACAGTCTGGTTATGCCAGCTCCTTTTGATGGTGGTTATGGATATAAGTTTTGCTTATTCAAGCCACATAGAAGGTGTTCTTTTGGAGTGACCCATATTTTGAAAAGGTTAAGATTACTTCTCTTGAGCCCTATTTATGTGAGAAAAAGTGTAAAATCTGAAGAGTAACAGCCTGAAAAGGAGTGTCTGCTACATATGAAGGCTCTCTGTACAATCGGAAATATCCAGAGTTCCCAAGTATTTGAAGCTGGCTGGATTGTTTAGTAAGTTGATGATTACATGGCTGTGGGGTCAAAGACTAGGAGTGTGACTCCCCACCATGCCTCCAGGGAGAAAAGTCAGCCTATGTGGCCTTCGGCAGACTGCACCGTCCCAGAAGTGCCCCTAGAGAGGACTGGCAAACCACTTCAGGATACCTTATACCTAGGAAACCTTGGAAAGATTGACCGCAAGTCAGAACTGAATTGTAGGATGTAATTATTATTGTTATTATTCTATAAGTAAAGGAAATCCTCTTTTTCAAATTGTGGTTCTCCATGTGAGAAGAACAATGGCTAGTGTGTGCTTCTCTGTTTACTTCTACCACATTACAGAGCAGTGTTTTTCCTTTCATTTTCTCTCTCTGTTTTAGTAAAAGCAACTAATGCACAAACACCATTAGTGGAAGTCGTTAACATTTTAGAGCTTCTCACCAGAGTACTAAGCATAAATTATTGCCAAGAGGTGAATGACAGGGTAAAGAAGTAACTGATCTCCAACTAAAGAAAAAGCATCTTCTACATCAATTTGTTCTTCACACTGCAAGGCCACTCCCACGGTGCTCTGCTCTCCAGACCTACCTCCACATTAGCGTCTGGTGGACAGTTGGCCGTAGGTGAAAGACATGGTTGCTGACCGCCAAGTTGTGTTCCAGCCGGAAGGGCTCTAATACAACTCCATCCCTCACAGGAAACGTCAGGCGTAATTCATCATTGTGGTTGGCTGGGATCGAAGAGGGAGAGAAAGTGTGAACTTTCCCTTTAGTATCTGCAGTGCAATAATAATGCTTTTATTTATTCTGAACAAGATCACATAGCTCACTAATCTCCTGATGGGTTGATCCTACAGCCCAGTTTGGGATAAGCTTCTCTTATGCTCGCAACGAGATCAGACTCGTGAACGTTATTACTGTCTCTCACCAAATCTGCAATGTAATGCCAGGCTGAGAGGTCCTTCAACTTTATTCACCCAGGCCCTCTTTATTCCACCCTTCCTCTGAGGAGCTCAAGATGGGAGAATTGATTTCTTCACTCTTTTTATCTTCACAACAACAATGTGAGTTAAATCAGATTGATGAAGCATACTGTGACTGGCCAAAGGTCACCTCTGACCATTGTAGCTGTTGCAGAATTTGACCTGCTCTTTGCTGTCCTAGTCCAGCAACCTAGTGACCATATGCCAGTCTCTAGTCCCTGTTACCAAAGTTTGAAACTGGTATTTGAAGAAACAGGGAAGGAGGTCAACAGGCTTAATCTCACTATGCATGGAGATGGTTGGAGACAAGAACATCTTAGTGACTCTGAGCATGGGCTGCTTCAAGAACTTTATGAAAAAGTTGTATTGCAGTCCCACCAGTTTTGATTGGACCCCTAAGACTTCTCAACTGAATTTTGACATCAGAACCAGCCTTCTTGCTGTTAGAATTCGAGAGTTACTGCCATGAATTTCATCAGTCTATGAATGTGCAGTCACAGTTTTGAGTCAAAATCTTACGTACTGAATAACCTGAAAAAGGAAAGCATTTAATATCTATTTGGATGTTTCATTTCATATAGGATTGTCTGTGGATATAGATGAGGAGGTAGATTTGGACTTGTAGAGCTCACATAATTCTATTAGGAAAAATGTGCACAACCAAGATTCTTAAACCAAGATTCTACCATTATTTCCAAATTCAAGTGTATTCTTGCACTGACATAATCAGAGGACCTTCTAATGTAGCTATTTACTTCTTACTATGGAAAGGGAAATATGAGTGTGGTCATATTTTAAATAAATAAAAATAAGAGGTTCACAAATATTCCAAATATTTGTGAAAGCAGGGGGGAAAAGGAAATCCAGTCTTCCTTTTATCACCCCTTAAATTATGGACACTTCTTCCTAACAATGCAGCTTGTCAGCCGGATTTGCTTTTATCCAGAAGCTTCCCAGTGATTTCAGTGAAACTTGCAGACAGGTAGGCAAATACTAGTATGTCCAGTATCTTGTGACATTTCGTTTGGTGTAATAAAGTTACTTCTCTAATATGAATTTGAAATCTTTTATTTTGGCAAACAAGGCTATCTTTGCTTTTCGAATTACTCAGGAACAAATGCCATTTTAGCTGCTAACAAAAAGACCCTACACAGAAGAAAGATGAATTTATGCTACTTGAAGCTGAGATTATTCTGTCTATTTGGCAAAGCAATCCAATTCGGGTTCTATTGAGTTGTTTTTTTTTTAAAAAATACTTAATTAAAACAGGGTGCACAACCTGAGGATTATGTGCAGCCTCCCAGTTTATAGTGATCTTATGTGTGTGCAGAGGTATCCATGGGTACTTGTGTGTCTGTACAAGTACACATGTTAAGCTCCAGGGCCTTCAGCTGGAACCTAGAATGAAGTATCACCCACTTTTATGTTTCTTTTGCCCCAATAGGCCTGGGGAGGACTGCAGGTTCCCCAAGCCATCTCTGTTCCTGAAATAATCTATTTTGAACAGGTTTCCATTTTAAGACTGCAATCAGCTTTAAACATGGGGCAATTTGCCTTCTCCTCCTGGAGACTGAGCTGTAACATCTTGTGTCATGAAGCATTCTGGAACATCTGAACTCTTGCACAGAGGTTTGTGACTGTGCAGTTGATCTAACAAAAGATTATTACCCTACTACGGATTTAGGATTGCAGTGTGTTTCTATTTTACCCTATTTTATATATGTTTCATAAAAATGCTGGTAACTCTACATATCAATGTTTTTCTCAAGAATGTACTAATCAGTCTAGTATTTCTCAAGCATAATTTTACTGACAAGCATAGTTTGCAGACAGGCAAAAGCAAAACTAGGAAAGGACTTTATGAGTAACTGATCTGCTACTTACTTGGAGGCGGTGGTAAAGCATTCATATTTGGCTTAATGTCAGGTGGGAATGGTGGCTTGACATCCTGATTAGGGGACAGATATGGAGGAATATTGCTCCCTGGCGTCATAGGTGGTGTGGGATTGCCAGGAACAGGCGAGTGAGGGTAATTTGCTACAGGGACAGGTCTTGATGGCTGTAAAATGGCAGATGCAATCAAAAAAAAAAGAAAAAAAGAAAAAAAGAAAAAAAGAAAAGAAAGAAAAAAGAAAAAAGAAAAAAAGAAAGAAAGAAAAATTATTGCAATACCTTGCTCCAACATGGCCTAAAGCAAAGCAAAGCAAAGCGTGCTGCTTATATACTGCCCCACAGTGCTTCAAGCACTCTCTGAGTGGTTTACAAGTTAATTATGTAGGCTACACATTTTCCCCCCCACCCCCAACAAGCTGGGTACTCATTTTACCGATCTCAAAAGGGATAGAAGGCTGAGTCAACCTTTAGCCGGCTACCTGGAATTGAACCCCAGGTCGTGAGCACAGTTTTGGCTGCAGTACAGCAGTTTAACCACTGCGCCACGAGGCTCCTCAGGAGGTAAAAAACAAAGTGTTAATACATAAGCACTTGACACAGAAAGCCCTGCACAGCTATCATCCACTTAGGTAAATCCAGCTCACTAGAAATGGAAGCCAATCCACAAGGTTTTGAACCAATACCCCTTTTTTGCTGCCTACCTGGAAATATTTCAGGCCAGGATTGTGTGTGTGTGTGTGTGTTATGGTTTAAGCTAATGGTGGAGAACTACAGGCCCTGGTCCAGATTTAGCCTACTATAATCACCAGCCCTACCACTTCTCCTCCCTTCTGACAATTCCTTCTGTTTCTCCCTTCTGCTTCTTGGAACCCCATGGTCTCTTCTTACAGTCGTTCCACTTTTTTTCTGATGCAAAAACAATGGGCAGAGAAGATCACACAATGTCTAGTTTGGCCACTTCGTAACGGCTTGAGTGTCTTGAAACAGCCACTTCTAGAGCTTCTCACCAACCACTTCCTGATGAAAGAGGGTGAGGAGCAGGATGATGTGTGCTCTGTTGGGAGCCTTCTCTTCCAGACACTTCCTCCAAATTTTTATTAGATGATATCATGAATGTTTAACATTTTCAGAAAGTAGGGCATTAACTCTGACTAATCAATTAATAAGAAACGTTGATACAAGAAAGATCTTTCTCACCTTGTAATACTGTCCCATGTTGACTGCTGGAGGGGGATACTGTGCCGAGTTTTGCTGGTTCGGCATTCTTTGTCCAGGGTAGCTGGGAGACGTAAGGGGTCTTGGAGGGTTGGGAGCTGGATACTGACCAGGCTGGGATGGAAACTGGCTATTTGGTCCATACTGCTGGTTTCCATAATTTGGCTATTTTGTTAAAAAAAAAAAAGACAATAAAAAAATAAACACATTTTTACTTCTTGTTCAATGCAGTTAGCGTGCATATTTAGGACATGAATACATTAGTATACATGTTAAAATTCACTTCAAACAAAAGCAGTCATAAGAAAATTTTCTGACTTTAATATACTTTTTTTCCTGACATTTTCAAACACTACATTAATTAGGAAACCTTAGATGAGTTGTTTCATTGTCAGCCTTTGCCAAATGCCAGTGAATGTCATCAGTCCAAAGAGAATGCAGAAGCGAAGGAACTGAACTCTCTGATTACATATAAAGAGGATGGCTCAATATTTTGTGGCCATTAAGAATTCAAAGGTGCTTAAATCTGACACGAACTGTCCCCACCATAAACAATGACATATAATGAACCCGCCTTCCATTACAGATTATACAACCCTACAAAAACAATGGTTCGTGATACACATGATATAAACACATGCAAAGCTTAATAGCAGAGCAGATTTCCTAGATCTAAAACACTAGGATGTTAAACATTACTCAGTTAACTATAGATTAATTCCCCAGCTAAAACAGACCAGTGTTCAGGATGAAATAATCTTAAGACTTCTCTGTGTGGAGTGTGTGCCAGTCTTGTACCTTGTTTCTGTACCTAAAGTACTTTTAAAAACCTCATACTTGGTACTCCTAGCAGCTCAGATGTTGATTTGCCAACTTCCCATTCATTGACTGGGTCTATTCTCACTGGGACTAATGATTGGACCGAAGCCCTAACCTTTATATTATTCAAGAGAACAGGACAGCCTTGGGAGGTACTCACCTCTCCTGGATATGGTCTCTTCATGCCTTGCATGGACAAAGACTGGGGGCGTGGGCCAGGGTAGGCTTGCTGAGGCATCCTTTGCCCGTGGTTGAAAGGACTCATTCCAGGTGGCCTGGGCTGGTTCATGCCCATAGGTGGCCCGCTCATATTGGAAGGCGTCATACCTGCTCCCATGGTTGCGGGATTCATGCTGCCCGGCATGGAAGCAGGACCACGAGGGCCAGGCTGGTTCATGAACTGGCTGTTGTAAGCCTGGGTTGGACCCATCTGGAAAGAGGAACAAACCTTCAACAGAAGAAAAAAAAAGAATAAAATGCGACATGCATTTAAAATGGGAGGGGGAGCCAAGCTGACGGGAGTCAAGAGATATGTCGCATTTTCAAATAAGAAATCTCTGTAGTTCCCCAGTCTCTCTTTTTATTTTGCTTTGCGATAATTGAAACTGGAATTCCAAAAGAAAATGAAAACCAGACAATGTTTAATTGTTTCCCAAGAGCTCTGAAAATCCTATGTTAAATGTTATTTCTACTGCGCAGCAGTGGTCCACAGTGTTCATCTGAGACATGGAGTCATTTTGAAATACCACAAAACAAATGAAAATGCAGATAAATGAGCAGATAGTCAATAGACCCAGATGCATGGAGTACAAAGATAAGTCTTTCAAACAAAAATGGCAATATATTGTAAGTTTGGTGAGACAGGTTGGAGAAATAGGAAGTGATGTGGAAGGGCAATGGGCAGTGAAATGTAAAGTTTTGCTATATTCCCACTTCTCAGTGGCATCTCACTCATTTAACCTCATACACCCACCCTTTCATTTCCACTAGCTCCTGCTTTCCCTGTCACTGCATCTTGTCTTATTTCAGTTAGGCACTTCAAGGAAGACTTGAATGATCTTCCCATCTAAGTTCTACGGATGTGTGAAAGGAGCCCCAGGGCCACACAGGCCTGGCCTGACTTCTGCCATGCCCAGTGACTATGTCCCAGCCTTACATCACTTGTAAAAAGGTGCCAAAGTATGCATTAGTGGTGTGCATATTTCTGCTCGTGAACTACAATACTCAGAATTCTCTAGGCAGTGTAGCTATTTTGCTTGAGGAATTTTAGAAGTTATAGTCCAGAAACACAGACATGGTTATCAGAAAACCTAGGGAGCCTTGTGATGCAATAGTTAAACTCAAGGCAGCTACTGGGATAGAACTACTGGGATTGAACTCAGCACAGCAGTGCTGAGTTCAATCCCAGTAGTTTGATCCCAGTAGCTGCCTTGAGGTTGACTCAGCCTTCTACCCTTCTGATTTGTTGGGCTAAGTCATCCATATATTCCACTGATTCAAATAGGTCTACTCTAATGGTAACTTAGCAGGACATTCTCAGGAGTGACCCTACAGGTCGAAATCCCACTACGGCCCACTCAGCATAAGAAATCTGGGTATTTTCTTGGGCTATAAAAGGTAACATTAAAATCTTTTATTTTTATTAAACAAATCATACAAACATAAAAATGACACACAAAGAAAAGAAAAACCCTATCCAAATCATGCTCCCCTATACCAGAACCATTCGGGAGTTACAGCGATCTCCACCCACTTCTATGGAGCCCCATTCCCCTTCCAAAATTGCTTTGATTTGTGTCAGGAAATCTTTTCTATTGTTGTGAGTTTACCTACTTGTCCAATGTTTAGTCTGTCATTTAATTCTGTTGTTTCAGTAGTGATAGAGCTTCTTTGGACAGAAAGACATGTAATGTTGTTTAACAAACAAAGAAAACGCACCACTGTCATACCCACTTCTATGGAGCCCTATTCCCCTTCCAAAATTGCTTTGATTTGTGTCAGGAAATCTTTTCTATTGTTGTGAGTTTACCTACTTGTCCAATGTTTAGTCTGTCATTTAATTCTGTTGTTTCAGTAGTGATAGAGCTTCTTTGGACAGAAAGACATGTAATGTTGTTTAACAAACAAAGAAAACGCACCGCCACTGTCAAGGTCCAGAATATGAACTCAGTCCGTAACCTCATATACCTCAACCATAATTCCAACCCCACCAAATAAGGCATCAATTTGTTTGCTAGAATGGTTAAATATGTTTCGCAGAGCACCAATGAAATATCAGCAGCCTTTCAAGATCCTGCTTTTCAAGCAAAGAAAGAATCTAACTTACATTTTCCCAGGCTCCATGATTTTTAAATAGGTATACTGTTTTTTTCATTCAAAACTGAAATCAGATGGGAACTGCTCTGAGGTAGTCAGCTGTCCCTTCCAAAAATGGGTCTGGTTTTTGTTATTGCAAGCATGCCATCTACAAAACACGTAATAAGTGGGAGAAAGTAGATGTAACAGGATTGGACTGTTTCTCTTACCGGTCCATACTGATTCATTTCTTTATTCTGTGTTTCCTGAAGAGCTGCAACCGTTGCTGTGGCTGTAGCAGTGGCTGTGGCAGCAGCGGCTGCAACGGCAGCAGCAGCGGCGGCGGCAGCCGGTTGAGTGAAATCCGCAGGTGGCCTGGTGTGGGGTGGAATCCCCATCCCTGCTGGGTTATTAGGGCCTCCTGGATAGCTAGGGGAAATAAGCGAAATTAAAAGCAATCAGTCTTCAAATTTGTACGCTGGGGCCAGAAATAACACAATTTTGGAAAAATGTTGTGCAAAATAAAAGGCGGAGGTTATATACACGAAACCAATATTTGATAAGTTACCTTGATCAGAACAGAGTTCAGGGAGCATCAGCAAGTCAAACGCTGCTATGAATCTATTCTTACATGGTGCTCACTTCACAGAAATTATTTATTTTAGATAAATCCATTTCTTAATCTCAGCTACAGCAGAACCATTAAATGAACCGAACTTACTAAGTCTGTATTTATATACAGTAAATCCAATTGATTCAGTGGGTCTACTCTAATTGGGATCAACAACTGGATGCAGGTAAGTTTTTCTATTGATTTTTCTGCAGTCATGTCTAACACTGTTCCTTCAGCATCCTTGTCTCACCACTTTTTCCTTCCTTTTTTGAGAAAGAAGGAGCCTCCCTTGACAAGGAATTCATTTTTTCCATTTGCTAGTATAAAAATTCACAAGGGAGGTGCAGGTTTCTCCATAGGAACACTAGCAGCATGCCAGAGGTCTAATCAGACCTTTCTAGATCTGGACTGAGGCACAAATATTGCAGTATCTGTGCTTACATCTGAAACAAGGTCATGAATGTGTATGCAGATTTATGACATCATCAGGGCACACTGCAGTTTATGATATCATAAATCTACATACATATTCATAACTTCACCCAAGATTTAGTAAGCGGCCAAGGTCCAGAAAAAGCCTAGACACACCAAATTATTTGCAAATGCCCAAAGTATATATTTAAGAAAACCATGAGGCAGGCCGGAATTGTTTCTGAATGAAGTAGATCATAACATATACATCTGAGATTTTTGTCACATGAATTTCACATGTGAATTTATTTAAGCCGCTGTGATGACATAATTCTCTCAAGCACAATACCGAAGACAGTAAGATTCAGTAACAGAATTCATTTTCTCATTCAGAACAGCAACACTTATATCAATATTCTTCAGATACTAGCTTAGCAAAATGTTAATCACTGCTAAGCTTGTGGTTTGTATCACTCTTTCAGTGTTAATTAAAACTTTATTTTAGGTGTTTATTAGAGTTAATTGATTGACCTAAGCCATTTGCAAATCATTTCCTGCTACTGTGATTTATCCTCCTTTAAGTCTTGATAGATTCACACCCACGCCCTGCAAATTACTAGGACATGGTTACAGGACATGGTTACTCTAAACTTGTGGAAATTTTTCATACTGAATCAAGCCTGCAACAAAAGCTGCTTTACCACACTATATACCATAAATCCGCAGACAAACGATCTCTTGTTTCAGCATAAAGATAAACCAGGTCTTCCTTGTATTGCTAACCATTTTCCTCCACTATTATTGTTGGTGCTGTTGCTGTAGGAAGGAGTGAATGTGTTTAAATCCAAGGCTACTGTTTCTTTATTGTGAGCATAAGGAAAAGTAGCCATCAATATTTTTACCAGAAAAGTTAAAACAGCAATAACCTAGCCAGTTTGAAAGGCAAAGGATTTGTAAGTTTTTTATGATTTCCAGATTTCTTCAAACATGGGAGAGAGAATGTCTGCTCAGCTCATTAAATTGGGTGTGGGCCTCAATTTTGTATTGTACTTCACTCTACTCACTGAGGGGAGCTCCATGAGTGACCAAACTGGTAATGACTTGCATTTATTCAAACATTGTATTTCCTTCACATTGTGGGACTGAATCTGCTACAGCAAGCTTCTTGAAAATTCAAGAGGAGCCAATGTTCAAATAAAAATGGAATTTCTCCAGTTTGAGACTTCTTAGTTCCTCACACTGAAGGAATGGGAGAAGGAGGGATGGAAAAAGCCGCCTAGAGTGGTCTTATAGGTCAGATGGGCGGAGTATAAATCAAATAAAAATTAATTAATTAATTAATTAATTAAAATATGCAAACTCAGTGCTCAGTCCCAATCGCACCCAGTTTTGCCTCAATTGGCCAACTAGGAGCAACAGTTGCTTCCATATACTGTACATGTATGTACACAAGCAGGAATTTATTACACAAAACACAACTAAGACCACTGGTTATGTCTGGCTTTAAGAATGGATCAGCTAAACTCACAAAGAACAGATTTACCAGATCTAGCTAATAGACAATGGACAGTTGAACAGCTCCTCCGTTTACATAAGAAGTATACTACTGAAATCTGGGTGCGGAAAATAAATAACAAACAGCAATGACTACCATCATGTTCTGTTAGTGCCTTTCCCAGAGGTAGACTGACCACTAATGGAAAAAGAATGCTGGAGGAGAAGGCATATATCTGGATACAGCAGGGAAATCTTTATCCTTATGAGTGAAGTCCAAGAATCATAGAATACATGGCTCTGTTCTCTATGCCAATTCTGCTCAAAACAGATCCACCTCATGCTTTCGATTCAGCAACTGGCTAAGCAAGTTCTATTCCACACATGCTGGATTTACCTTCCTCCAAAGCCTCCATTTCCTGGATAATTAGGCCGTCCGTACATGCCCTGCTGTATATATGGCTGATTAGAGCCTGCCTTGGCTGAGAACTGCTGCTGCTGGCCAGCAAATTGAGGGGAATTCATGCCAGGATTGTTGGTCGTCATCCCAGAAGCCATGGGATTTCCTGCTGGGTTCATTGGATTGTTAGCATTTGCCATGGGATTTCCCAGCACCTAAGAGACAGAGAAGGGGGGAGAAGGGAAAGAGAAACAGAGATTGTCATATTGTCTTGACATGAGCACAGTTGGAGTATTAAGAAAGTATTCAGTTTTGTTTGAGAGAAGTGAAGTAACAACAGAAAAGATCACAAGAGGAGACACCCAACTACTTATGAAGTGTGCAAGAGGTGTGGAGAAGTTTTAAAGTTGCAGCCTGACTGTGGCATTCACCCCTCGTGCCCCCCTGCTTGACCGTCAAGGCTCAGAGCACTCAAAGAAAATAATCCCCTCTTTTACACTGCTGCCACCAGGTGTTCACCAAATCACCATTACTTCAGGAAAATGAAGATTCAGTTCCACACTTCAAAGTCTTTTAAATATAACTTTTCTTAATTGATTACAGAAATTGATAGTGATTCATGAATATCTTCTATAGGTAAATTTATTATTAACAACAATCTTCTATTTGATAATACACTCCTAACTAAGCACCTCTCAGATTTCCCCAAACTTCACACTCTATCTCCTTCTCCACTCTCCTCATACTCTGACTCTGACTGACTGACCCTCTCTCAGGCTCCACCTCTCAGCAATATGAATATGCATGAACAATTAACATAACAGAACATGAACCATTGACATAATAAAGGGGAACGCTACACTGACCTTGTAATAGAACCAGATCTGCCGAAGGAACAGACATGATAGACACAGTAACAACATACAACCACTTGCTCTCAAAAGGATGCTGCTTCTTTCTTTCTGATGATTTTATTGTGTTCTTCAGGCAACAAAATCTAACCAAATTAGTATACAACTAAATGGATGGCACAACCAGACTGCATCTGTTGCTCCTTCCTCCTCCCTCGTTTGCTTTTTTTCTCAAGATAACATGTACACATTTTACCAGTTACATTCTGGAAGTTACGGAAAAATGGGGCTGATGAAATGGGGGAAATCACAAAGGGAAATCTAGACAAGTATAACAGTGCTGACAACTCTGGTAACAGCATACATTCCATTATATATTTGTGAAAGGCTTTGTATGTAGCGTTTGTGCATGTGCATGCATGCTTGGCTTTTATAGGAAGCTACCTTAATCAGATCCTCAGCCCATCTTACCCAGTACTGTTAATTAGCCAGTAGTAGCTCCTCCCGTTCCAGGCAGGATTTTTTCCTCACACTTCCTGGAGATCCCTGATGTTTTCTGCCACTGATCCCATATACTTCCAACAAATCAGATGAGCATTGGTGTACGAAAAGTGCAAAAGAAGACAACCCAAGAGCCTGGCTCTGCGCATAAGACCGGTTCTTACTTTCATATTCCTGTTGTTTAGTCTTGTCTCATTTTTCTCTTGGCACTCCCAGGAAGAGGCCAGGGTAGATAAAAATACAGTACTGTAAATGGTTTTTTTTAAAAAAAAAAAACCCAAAATTGATTTAAATCAAGATTTAAATTTTAAAAAACATGATTTTAAAAAAATTTAAATTGTCACAATGGAAAAGGCTAAGCCAAATACTGTTTCTGAGACCCAATCCCTCTTTCGTCACTCACCAACGTGCTTTTTATTTACAAAGCAAGAATGTACACTTCACCATTTTCAACAACAGAGGATACCGAATTAGTGCCACATAATTTTAAGTATCTACTCTAGCTTCAGAGCATAAGAAACGCCTTCTAGAATTAGATCAAGATCTATCCAGTGCAGCATAATTAAACAATAAAAATAAATCTAAGCCATGAGCATGCGCTGAGGTCAGCGGGGTTTCCTGAAAGTCTGCTGTCTGTATGAAAATGTCCTATAGCTTACAACAGGGGCATGGTTGCTTCTCCAAGCCAACCTCAGGACCCAAAATATACAGTGGGGTCTTGACTTGAGAACTTAATCCGTATTGGAAGGCAGTTCTCAAGTCAAAAAGTCTGTAAGTCAAGTCTCCATTGACCTACAGTGCATTGAAAACCGATTAATCCCGTAACAGGCCGTTTTTGTTCCATTTTGGTTTTTTTCTGGTCTGTAAGTCAAATCTCAGTCTGCAAGTCAAACCTAAATTTTGCGGCCAGAGAAGTCTGTAACTCAAAAAGTCTGTAAGTCAAGCCGTCTGTAAGTCAAGGGTCCACTGTAATTCTTCAGTCTTCTTCTGTTGTGGCATGTGATGTGATTGTTCCACCTTACCTGACCCGCCCCCAAAATGATTATTAAGGAGAGGAACCAACAAAAGGGAGCTTACCTGGCTCTGAGACGTATTAGTCACACCCCATACTGTAGTGACCACAGAGAGGGAGCCTGGTGGTTGATTGGTGTTTTGCTGCCAAGGGACAGAATCATAAGGGAAAGACCCATCACTGCAACAAAAAACCAAGGTAGGGGAAGAGACACATACAGGAGATAAAGTCACACTTTATTATTCAAATGAATTCTTGGGTTGAGTGGGAAGAGCAATCTTCTAATTTTTCAGCAGATTCATTCCCCCCCCCCCCCAAACAACATACTAGCTTGGTGAACTGCCTGACAGTGATAACATTTACAAAGTTAATAGTTTCTGTTTGGTTGCAAGAAGAGCAATTGCTTTTGCATCAGCGAAGGGGAGAAATACATTTGACAGTGAAGCACAAAATGCATATGACAATGATTATGGAGGTGAATGGCAATGAAATTAGTTGAAGCATGAAGAGTTCCACTTTTGCTACCTGCAGAAGTGGCAGATGGCGATACGTTCTTGGAAGTGGATTTTTAGGAACTGAAGCAACTGTGTGAAGCCAAAGTGGATGCTTGGATACATTCGCCATGCCAATGTCATTTATTTTTTAAGCTCCTGAGCCACCACGGCTTTAGCTCTCTTGTTCCACTTCAATCAAGTCTAGACTCCAGCCCTTTCTGCCTGCCCTGCATCACAGCAGTCCTTTTAAGGGACAGCAATTACTGGGTGAATTAAAATTAGAATTCAGAGGGCATCCTGTCACACACTGCGTAAGGAGCACACCAATAACAGTATTAGTGAACTAGTATTCTGTATTAGAGCTGCTGTCATGTAAAGGCAGCTATACAAACCAGGACATCCTGGTTAAGTTTTTCCTCCGCAGTATATATTTACTTGTGGCCTTTGGCGAAGGACTTTCTCTCTTTCTTATCTTCAGGCACCCTCCCCCACCTCCTACAATCTACAGCCTGAGGATAACAACACTGACACCTTATGGGGCCTGTTGTATGCATACACACCTTAAGCACTTTGTAAAATGTTAGGCACCCTGAAAGCTCAAAAAGTGTTACAGAAATGCTTCCTTTATTATAATAACAATAAAAAACCCCCAATGTATTAAAATTACACATTATGAACCAGGATCATCTGCTCGCACTATTTATATCCCACATATGTGGGAAATAAAATCTGCAATTAGTAGTCACGATTAACTCCCATCACAAGCACAGTCTACACCTATGGATGTTTTCCAACATGACTCAGGAAATCCCTGTCCTACCCTAAACCCACCTAAAAATATGACAGATATGCACACAGTCAGTATGCAGGTAGGTTAAGAGATCTCTGCTTGCTTTCTCGCATCAGCCACAGAAGAGGGCAGGACATTATATATAGGGTATCTCTCTGAGATTCCATCATGCTGTCAAAGTATCCCCTGCCAAGTTGAGGTTAAGGGACAGAGCTGTGCTAAGTTGTATTGGAACTCTCCATGTACAGGTGGACTTGAAGTGTGAACAGATCATGCACACAACTATCATGCACTATACCCTGTATAGGTTTGCACCAGAAGTACTAAATTCATTAGTACTTTTCCCCCTCAGTACCAATCACCTACAGACTGTTCATTTTCTTTCAAGCATATTTATTCTGAATTAGCTGTTAAACATGCATATCACATATTTTACAGTTAAAAACATGTCTAAGCCACTAATATAGGAATGTTAAAGTAACATTTTTAGTGTGACAACATTTATGCATCAAATGACATTTATTTTATAGATGGATACAATGTTAAGGGCAAATTTGAAAAACCAGAAATGTGTTGGAGCAAAGTGAATATTTTTTCCTTGAAATATGATTTCAAGATTTGTTAACTTTTGTTGCTAGTGTTTCTAATGCTAGAATATATTTTAGGGTGCAATCACATAGTGGACAAACACATGATGGAACCATCTCTGCTCAATGAAGAGGTTATTCTGATACTTGGGAATGAGAGTATGCCTGGTAATTAAAAATCTCCAGTGAAGTTTTTGTTGTTCATCAAAGGGAGACCCAATTGTAATAAAAGTTTGCAATAATAAAATTGACTAATAAGACCTTATCAGTTGAAAATGAATGATGAACAAGGACACACGCAACAATATAAATGGCAAAAATAAATAGACATCATCAAGAATTTTCATTTTGAAGGCATCCCTTTAAAATGGAAGTTTTTCATGACTGGAAGGGAGGGGATGCAACGGCAACAGAAACACAATTTAAAGAACATGTTAGAGTCTTTCTACAGAAGATTCATCTTAAATCAGTCTGAACAGACATTGAACTACAACAGAATATGTGTGTAACAAAGCTCTCCTCAGGAGGATGGTCTTTCTGTGGATCACTTACTAACCCAATAAACCCTCAGGCACTGACTTCTAACTGGGGTGTTTGTATCCTCCCAATAATGTGAAGAGGTATGCACCAAAAGGCACTACTGCTATGCTGGTTGTTGTTTTGGGGTGGGGAAAGAAAGAGAAAAGAAAGAGAGAGAAAGGGAAAAATTTAAAAGTAGCCTCCATTTTATGGGCTGGGGTTCAAGATTATCTTAAAACACTGAAGACAAGCACTTTGATACATCCTGATACATATAATTAGGTTTAGCTGTAATGAAGTTACTGCTTCTCCTTAGGTTTGAAAATGTTATATTTGTTCATGGCTGGCCTCTCATTCCCAGATGGAACTATGTCCAGGGAAGACTATATTCTGGGGCTGTGATCCTCAGCAGACAAGACAGAAAAATGTGCCATTGTGAATGTTGAGACTTGGTAGAGAGTATATGTGCTCAAATCAGGATGCCAGTTTTACAGCACAGTCTGATGATGTGGAAACACTGGAGCAAAATCCCTCCACTGACAGCACAGCAAAACATGTAAAAAAATTAAACACACTACAAGATCAAGAATATAACATTTACTAGGACCCAGCTAGGACCTAACCTTCCTTCTTGGGCTGGAATCAGATGTAATGCCAACTGACATTTCTAAGCTCTAGCTGTTCTTCGTCTCCTGACAGAATAATTTGCAAGGGAGAAGGTCCAAAAAATGGAAAGAGTGCTTAACATTTTCCTAGACTAAAAATGTTTTCCCCACTCCATGACTCTCTCCAGTTGGGGTTCAGGCCCATGTTTTTACCACATATATAGAATGTTGCATGTGGGAAAACTAGTCCAAGGAGGGTATCTGTGATGAGGAAAAGAGAATATGGCAGAGGAAAAACTCCCACCTTCTTTCCTCTCCTACATATCACATCTTAGCACTAGTAGCAGAGAAACTTTTGGAAATCCAAATTTGTAGCATAGTATGTAATTCCAGACTAAGCCTCTTAGTGGCTCTATAAGCTGGGTTTTCCTAATGTCTTTATAGTACATTCTGGTGTCACAGACATAAACATAAAAGTGGTGCTTTTCCAGAGTCTGCAGTCCCTCTTCAAAACATCCACATTTAAAATGGCTTCCTTCCTTTATATCCTAATCTTGTTTTCACCTACAAGGTAATAATAATATTTCTAAGAGTAGTTTGCTGTGGTCTCTCACTAACAAGACACATTGTGAATATACACACTTTCAAAACCTACTTAAAAACCCAGTAGCCAGGGACCTGAAGCTAGAAATCTATAGTTAGCCCTTGAGTCACTGGGTACATACAGAATGTCTCTCCAGTTCTCAGCATCAAAGCTGCATCTGTAGAGTATAAATAACAGTGACCCATTTCATTGTACAGTTACATGAGAAATGCCAAGGTTTAATGCTAGGGAAGGCTATATGTCTCAATTATTAATTACTATCCTTCCACATCTGACAAGGTATTGTTACTCAGATACGGGTGAAAATCTTGCAGTTATTTTCTATTATCCTTGGCATGTTTCTACTTTGCCTTTCCATTCATACAAGATGCAGCTTCCTGCAGTGGCTACCTCAGGCTTTGGGTATCATTAAAGGGTAGCCAATTCTTACTTGTTATATATTTATCTAAACTCCATGGGAGAGATGCTTGTGGCATTTTCTACCACAGGTGCCCGAACAACTTGGTGGCCTTGGACATTATGCACATGAGGAAGTGGGGTGGGATGGGATAGGATTTGCTGCTCCGTCTCAGGCAGCAAAATGTCTTGGGCAAGCTCTGTCAACACTGAAACATTAAGCAGGGACTTATCAGAGGAATAAAAATGAGGTGTTTAATTCACTACACCACAGAACACTGCTGAATAGTTCTCATGTGCCACAAAACCTGGGAAGTACTGGCTATTTTTTAACCTACTGATCTATATGAAGTATCCCTCCTTGTGGCTGATCCACAAGGGACAAGGGAGTCTTTTACAGCCTATTTCAGAGCCTGGCTCTATAGCGCAAGCTGTAGAGACTCACGCTTTCAGCTCTGGAGGTCCCCGTTTCAATCTCTGGGGTCTGTCAAGATGGCAGCCGTCACATATGCACCTATGAATCAGAAGGGAAAGTGTAGGTCCAGAATAAAAAAATGAAAGCCCTAACAATGCACATCCTCACAATTGTATCATCTAAATCCTGAGGCTAATTTTCACTTTTATATCTCCTTCGGGCAATGGACACATACACATTCATACGCATACAAATATTTGCCTTTCTCGTTGTAGCCCCACTTCACTTGACTTACAGTTCATTCTTGCTATCAAACGGCAAAATTGCAGAACCATTTAATATTAAATTCTAATCACAAATCTAATTACATTGCTAGTATTTGTTATATAACAACCAACACATGAAAAGTTATGCTTGAATCCTGATATGGCCTAATAATAGACCTACATTAATATGGGGGACCTGAAGATGGCACTGCAAACATCGTTTTTACATTGAGCTATCCACTGTAAGACACAGGATTTCTCTTCCATTATCATGACATCATCACATCCAGAAGATGTCATAAATCCACGGGAGCAATCCTTGAGGGTGATCTAGAACTTCCAGGACAGCACCACACAGAGGAGCAGGCTGGCCTGCAGATCACTCCAAAAGGTCCTGGGTCCTTGGGGGAAAGGGCTGTGGAATGGAATGCATACTGAGAAGAAGTAGGGGATTCCCTTCTGGAGGTGAAAAAAATAAAGGCTATTCCTCATTTTCAGAGAGCCGCCACGTAAGAACCCAGGATAGGCTGGTGACCATGTGGAGGAATGCCCACTTATAAAGAAGACTCTTCATGAATAAAGGGCTTCTTATGAGCAATGCCTTCCTCAAAATCAGGACTTATATTTGATTGTCTATAATGTTCTATACCTGAGTCTTGGGCAGAGCTTGAGAAACTTAGTCATGGGAAGTTGCTAGAACAGTGTCTGTGTAGCTTGCTACCTACCCCTTGGCTTTACTACAGAAGTGGAGAACTCTTTCTGACTTGTGGGCTGAATTCTAGCAGTAGACAGAACAGATGTAGATCTTATCCATTCAAACCAGCACAACAGCTTTTAGGTAGGCAAAACATGCAAATAAGAGCTGCTGTTTCACACCAATACGTCCTGGTCTTCAAGCCAGAAATCACTTCCATGCAAAACCTTCAGGTGGACTACATTCATGGGTAAGGAATAGTTCTCTTCTGTTTGACTAGACTCAATGACCTCTGCATTGGGATCTTCTTGCCTGACTACCTCTTTAGGCCCTAATGGCTTAGAACCATGGACTGTCCCAGTTTTCCTTCTGGAATCCTTATAGTCTTAGATTTGCCTGGACCAGAGCAGTAGCATATAACAGTGTGGATAAGGATGGGACGACACATGAAATAGTGACACCACAACCCAAGGCAGCTATTTCTACATCTTATAGAGGAAATGGAAAGAGGTCAGATCAGGAATGGTGGTGGTGGGGCATCTCCATCTTATTCGCAGTATTTAGGCCTGCCTTAAGACACAAGGGGAAACTTCTGAAAGAATTATTGGATTTGATGTTGAAACCTGTGTAATATATGTGAACTGATGTTGGGAGAGCTGAAATTCTGAAAGATCTCTGCATCTTTTAAGAACACTATTAATCTCAGAATATTGTCACAATGCTGTACACTAACTAGTTATCAGCCCCAACACAGAAGGAAGTAATGTAGGTATTAAAATAATTGAAAAGAGCAAGAGTTAATTGCAACTCTTTGAAGATTAAGCTCATGGCTGGTGCCAAAGGTTGTTGGCTCAAGTTAGACTAATGCTTGAGTGCAGAGCACTTTTAAAAGCCTAGTGTGTTGATTACTGCTATCATTTCTGTTCTTTGTGCCCAGGAAGGCTGGGCCTAAGCTGCTCTCTGGAACAAAATAAGAAGTAGTTAATATCTTAGACACTTAGTTTGGTGCATGAGTATATCAATTTAATTAACACTAAGCTTTCTGGGGGCTTCAATCAAAAGTTTTTCCCAGCCCTGTTACTTGATATGCTGTACATGGGGGTGCCAATGAGAGAAACTAGATCCTTTCGCAGCAAAAAGCTTCTGAATGATTGTCAGCCCCCTAAAATAAGCATGGAGATTAGGGGCTAAGACAAAACTAGAAAAGGAAGACATAGGCAATGGGAAGAACCAAAGAATCACTAGGATGGCACTGGCCCAGCTATATGTGGCTGTTGGATCCAAGAGATTGTCACAGGTGGTCAAAGAATTTGCCAGTCATTTCTCTCCTTGTAAGCTAATGAAAGTTGTGAGCCACCTCCAACAGGATGGAGTACTCAAGATGGATTTTAAGGGCAAATCATTGTTTAAAATGATTTTGTTCTAAAGAAGACTTGAGTCTTAAATCATTTAGACTAGATAAGTCTAAAGTAATCCAAATCATAAGCATGGGGTTTTGGGTTTCTTTTCACTACAACTATCAGAATTCAGCAGGAAATCTTCTGGCTAGAATTTTGGTAGCTTCACAGTCTCAGAAGAGTTTCAGGATTCTCACCTGTTCCTTGCCAAGGGTCTCTCTGCAATGATGTCCATTAAGTATGGAGAAGGATATAGACTGAGCTTTCGTCATTCCATGGCAGCTGCAAAGCATTAGGGGACAGTATCTCTCTGTTCATTAGGCCCTGTAGAGCAGGGGTCCCCAAACTTTTTCACCCTGCAGACCAGCTAGGGAAGGCGGGGCACTTGTGCGCATGTGCGACCGAGTGCCAGCGCATGCACAAACAGCAGCGCTTGTGTGGGCACTCTCGCATGCATGTGCAAAAGGTGGCACAGCACTTGCACAGGCTGGAGTGCGCGCACATGTGCAAATCAGCTGTGCAGGGGTGAGTGCGTGCAGAGGGGAGGTCTGTCTTCGTGGCCCAGTCCGGCTCAGGCCACAGTCTGGCACCAGGCCACGGACCGGGGGTTGGGGACCTCTGCTGTAGAGGATACCTCTCAAGAAACTATCAGTCCCAATAAAGAGTAGACTCCTTGGCCGAAATGCTGTTGCTTAGTTCAGTAAACTGTACTGTACCCATTGAATCAACAGGGATTTGGTGAGTCAACTCCATCAATTTCACTGATTCAAATGGGCCTACTTTAACTGTGACTTATTTTAGCAAAAATAACTTATGTTGTAGACAAGAGACTACTGTTAGGGCAGTATATGGAAGAACAGAAAGATTTCCAAAAACCAAAGGTGTCAGACAAGGGTGTATTTTTGTCTTCCTATCTGTTCAATCTATATGCAAAATATATACGGAAAGCTGGATTACAGTCAGATGATAGTGTGAAAATTCATGGAAAAAAGATTAATTTAAGATATAAAGATGAAACCATATTACAGTGGTGCCCCGCATAACAATGATAATTTGTTCCACTGAAATCGCTGTTAAGCGAAATCGTCGTCATGCGAAAACAGTTTCCCCATTGGGATGCATTGAAACCCATTTAATGTGTTCCAATGGGGAAAATACCTCGTCGTCCAGCGAAGATCGCCCATAGGGAAGCCATTTTGTGAGCGCCAATCAGCTGTTAAAATGGCTGCCCTGTGAAGCATGGGTCCAGAAAACACAGGGTAGCCATTTTGCTAAGCTGACAATCGTTGGAAAAAATCATCGTCTTGTGAACAAACGGTTTGCGAAGCATGGACCAAATCGTCGTCAAGTGGAAATCGTCCATAGGAATGACTGTTCTGCGAATAGTTATAGCGATTGCAAAAAGTCATAATGCGGATTCGTCATTCAACAGGGTCATCGTCTAGCGAGGTACCACCGTACTGGCCAAAAGCTGAAATAACCAACTATTGATGAAGGTGAAAGAAGGCATCAGAAGAGCAAAAATCTTGACTGCAGAAGAATTACACAACTTTAATGTTGACAATGAAGAAACGAATTTGTTCAAGATTTCCTGTACTTCAGTTATCAATCCAGATGAAGAATGTAGCCAAAAAATCAGAGGAAAACTGAGGGTGACTATGAAGGAACTAGAAACGATCCTGAAGTATTTAAATATGCGACTGAAGACTAAGACCATCCATTTTATTACACTCCTAATTACAGGTATGGATCTGAAAACCACATGGCGAAGAATGCTGACAGGAAAAAAAAGTCAAGTCATTCAAAGCATAGTGTTGAAGAGCTTTATGAACACCACAGAAAGCCAAAAAAGTCAGACAAGTGGGTGCTAGATCCTGCTGCTTCATCTTCCTGGCATTATTGTGTTTTCCACAATAATGCTAGGAAAAGTGGAAGATCAAATGTTGGATGGATTGACTTGAGGATGAATAGGCTTGAGATTACAAGATGCGAGCAAAATTGTTAATGACAAGACTTTTTGGAGGTTACTAATCATAGTTGCCATAAATTGGAAGCAACTCAACAACGCATAACAATAAGAACATTATATTATAGCAACTTACTAAAAAGTAATCTTTCACCACAGTACTCTAAACTTCCCACAGCTTATGCCACAATAAATTCCTTAGTCTTTAAAATCAATTTAAACTCTAAAGAAATATAAATGAACACAAAAGAAAACTTAATCTGGAAGACTTAGTACATATCACAGGGCCTGGCCTAATGAACTGCTGCGCAAAAGGCTTCTTGGTAGGTTATCTGCCTGCTTACTTGTAGTCTCACGTTTTTCCAGGCAGCTCAGGTTACTTATACGTAACATACATGTAAAATGTACACAGGTAAAGGTCTCACAATGGACAGTACCATACCATGTTCTAGCTTACTCTCATAAAGTTATCCATTGGTTAGAATTTGATGGTGGTACACAGACTGTATCCCTATCAAAATCACATCTATTCAGCCCAAAGGAGGACTGACAACAAGGTTTGGGTGGAGGTGATGGCATATAGTATGATGATGGGGGCATGAAGCAAAGATAAAGCAGAACTACACAGAGGCTTGGAGATGTACTGGGTAAAAGGAAAGGAATAAATTATAGTGGTAGGAACTGTTGGGAGGAAGAAATGCCGAAGGATGTTGTAGACTGGGGATGAAGCAGCAGCTGAGTATGAAGGTACTGTACCACAGCTATTAAGTTTTAGA